ATTATCAGATAATTTTCAACATTACAAAATTATAAATGAAGGCGCAAGTTCAAACTGTCACAAGGGAAATCTCCTCATGTATATAAAGGTTTAGTCAATTAGTCGAGGTTTACTGATTGTTGTGATACATTTCAAAATTGTCATGTTAGATGATTTAATAAATCGTATCTGTTTGAATCTGTTTGACTAAATTGACTTAATACTCAAAAATCAATCATAAAAGAAACTAACCTTTGCGTCTTGAAAACGAATTGAAACGGAACATTTTCGTTTGTAATTTATTTCTTCCTTCTCCTTAAGCTTTAAACCGATAAATCAAGTAAAAGTAGAAATCCTATTTAAAGAAACAAACTAGGATTACCGAAGTAACTAAAAATAGCTTAGAATTCCGTAAAATTACTTCGTCTGATTCTGCAGAATGACGGAATCGCCCGAATTGTCACGATTGCAGCGGAGACTTAGACTGGTTTCCCGTTCCATCATGCATTAACAAATGTAAGCAGGAAACCACCTAACCGGAAAACTTTTTCAAAACAAAAGGCTTGCGGCCACAGCCGCAAGCCAAAAAGAGAAACAAAATGGACCTGATGTCGAACAAAAACAAACCTTTCACTAAAACAAATGTGTCCGTTTCGGATATAAGATTTATAAAATTAGAATTTTTACCAAAAAAAATTATGTTCAGTACTTTTTGTATTTATGATCGGCGCAGTTATACTTAATATATTTGGTGAAGTAACATTTACACTCTGACTGTCAATTTATCATTAATAATTCAATAATTAGACAAAATTACCAGTATTAATATCAGCCATTTTCTACTTTGTTCAAATGGCTGGAAAGTAAGAATTTCTGATTAGAAGGAATGTGCGAAAGATCTTATTATGAAAATCGGCGAGGTGTTCCGAATTTAAATGAGCAGCAAAGTTTCGGTGCACGGTTCATTCGGTCATATGATAGTGATTGAAGAAATTGTAGCAATAGTATTTACTGTCAGTATTTTTCGAAACAGGATATAGTAAAACGTTTTTTCTGGAAACAATGATCAATTTGTATAGTTTTAAGGATTAAATACGGAATGAACAACTGTTTGACGTGTTAAATTTAACGTAAATGATATTTTATAATTTTAAATTATTTGTTCACCTCGATATTATTTTTTTTTTAGTATTTTGAAGCATAAATTGCGCTTATCTTTTTTCTTGATTGGTGCTAATGATTTTTAGCTTTAAACTAAATGCATCAACTTGAATTTGAAATATGGTTGCCGCTAGTAATCATTCTCAACACTGCAGAGGTCTCCAAACAAGGCAGCCGTATTTGAGGAAATGCTACATAATGAAAACCTTACATAACAGAAAAAAAACTGTGTCGATAGATCCCTACTCTGGCCTATCATATGAATGTTCATAGATTTTACCACAAACATTGGAATGTGCTTTTATGTTATCAAATATATTGCGATGAAATTCTTATTGTATCCAGTAATCTGATAATTAAAATTAGACAGGTTAGTGATATATGCATACACTGTGTTGACCGATTGTAAATATTAAGAGATTCTTGTTAGAAAAGGCAACATTTAAGGAAAGTTCAAAATGAATTGTACAAATAAAGTGTATGTAAACAATAAAGTTAAAAAATTAATCTCTAATGAAGGAGAGAAGAGCCGTTGTTGTAGCCATAATATCCTTCGGTTGATAATACAGTATTCACGTTGGAATACTTGAACAACCCAAGTTAAAATGGTCAAATTGAAGAAACTAAAAACACCAAAAACATGTATACACACAACAATTATGATGCGCTGAACAATCGTCAAGGATCGGAAATTTAACAGCTTTGATAATATGTATGCGGCGTCTTTTTACGGCATCCACACGGCACAAATAACACTGATGTGGCAATAAAATATAGAAGAAAACTTAAAAGTGTTGGAATCAATGATCCCACAGACCTGAAAAATATAACAACACTGAAGGGAAGTACGGGGCAACTTGAAAACTTGCATTGTGGCATTTCTTGTTATGACATTATTTTATATAAGCTTTTAACAAGGGAGATATACTGAACGAAGATAAGGGGTGAAAGGCTAAAACGTGTGTCCAAAGCACAATAACAATTAAACATTCAATGACTTTTCTAACAGAAAGTTTAACCCTCGACCGGCTGAATTTCGTGAATGGAGATCCCAGCTTTAACTTTAAGAACTGCTCTGTCATTTATAAAATTGCGTCTGCTTTTTCTTGATGCGCAGTAATGTTGCAACGTAAGCTTATTAGAACCATTTGCAAATGCGAATGCTTACATGAATGACTCTAGGCCCAGTTTACACCAATCCAAGTCTTGAATACAAGTATCATATTCCCTTGTCTTGCATAATGTAGATAACCTACTTAAATGAGTTTTAAAGAGAAATTATGTGACATCCAAGAAGATATTTTTTTTTTACAGAAACATAAAAGTATTGCAAAGACATACTTTTAAGGTATATATTCTGGGCAATCTTAATATAAGACTTTTCAGTAAAAATTGTGCGTTATTATATGTTGAAATGGCCATTTATTTAGCTTATCTAAATGTGACATGTAAGAAACTTGACTAGGTGTAGACGGACCGGCAGACTTTCTAAGTAAGGACTTACATAGTATACTGCATGATCTTGAAATCTTGAAAACACGGTAAGCAATGGTCTTCCGATAAATCGCAAGCCCCCAAATAGGTTGAACATCAAATTGTATAAACTTATATTTGACGATACACTTAATAAAAATGCAGTTATGTTAGTTTCTTTAAAATTTGTTACAAAGAATGTTTTACGTAACCAGAAAACATTTCCAGAACAAAATAGTCCTTTTCTATTTTTAGTAGATTTGGCAATGCTTTTTCGTATAACCCATTCGCTTTCAAATAAAAAACTTACAAATACCATATTTCGACAAATACTGTAATCACAAAATAAATAATAATTTTACGATGCATATATTCCTGACCTGTCTGATTATAATCATTAAATCAGCAGCCCGGTATCAATGTCAAGGAACCTATTAGGACACTGAACAAAACTTGAGAGGGCACAAGGGTTGAATGGCTAGGTCTACAATGGGCACATTTTCCAAAATTATTTCACATACAGATAAAACAGTAAAAATGTATCATTTAAAAATATGTTAATAAATCGAAAGAAATTTAGTATAAACATCTTAAAGATAAACGATATAACTTTGTTCTAGCAAAACGTATTTTATTATCTTCTTAATTCATATAATATTTATGTTATATTGTATCATGTCTCTAACACTTTCCAACAACACCCATATAATAATTATAATTCTTTCGTGGTTTGGTTCGATTCATTCTTGGTGCCATGGTGGTCGGCTGCGTTCTGTGAACGTTGCCTTGCTTAGTTGGTCGTTGATAACTATCGACGAAAGGTTATGTTATGTTATTGAATATCTGACCTACTCTTAAAGAACAATTCACTTTAAACTGAACCTTTACTGAATGTTTGTACACAAAATAGTATCATGAAATTGATATTATAATTGATTAATAACTTAAATTTTTACAATTTTTAATCACACTATAATTTTAAAAGAGAGAAAGTATAATAACATCTAGTATATTCTTGTCTTTTTAATGAAAATATTTTATAACTAATCGAAAAAATGATTAACATAATCATAAGAAAATGCTATTGTATATTTTGCTTACATTTCTTTGCTTTAAAAGTATAAAAAACAAACACATAAAGCATTCAATCTTTAGAACAATGTTAATTTGTTTTGAAATCCATAACGATAAAACATAATTATGATTTTTAAACAACTAAAGTTGGTCCATATGAATTGTTGGCCAAATAAATTATTTATTTATTTATTTATTGAATCAATGGTGTTGCATATGCTTATGTAGATGATATTTTAAGCTAGCTCTTACACAGACAAAACTTATAGTTATTATTGATTCATTTAAAGAGACATTATGATAAATGTGGTCATATCAACAACACTTATATTGCTAACCATTTTAAATTACACTATACAATAGATAATTCTATTTTAAGAAATTATACACTTTATCTCAATATTTAAATTGTACTTTAATTAGCTTAATGACATCTATTGCATAATAAATATACATCTATTCTTTTACATCAACATAAGTACACTAAATACAATATGATTACTACAAAATAATCGTGCAACACAATAGTAAATCGTGTCTTTGTTTTTATACAGTTATTTGAGATTATTACGAGCGTATAGATACTGTTAGTTTTATTCTAATGTCTCCAATTTTTTATAGTATGAAAACTGCTAGATATAAAGTACTAGTTGGGAGAAATTGACTTGTATAATTATTCTAAATATAACTTATTTGTGTGCATGCAAAATGCCCGGTTTTTACACTGTTCCCCTGGCAAAAGCTATTTCATCAAAACTTTCATAACATTAGACACGTTATTCTTATAAACTGTTGTTTTCGAAATAGATTTTGCATGTCTCGTTCTATATAAATTGTTAAATACACCCACATATGTTATAATACTGATATTATTTGTAAATTGTCTGTTGTTACATTATATGTAATCTTGACAAAATAAAGAAATATTGTATTGTACAAAAGGGTTGGACGAAAATATGTTATTATTGTTGGTCCTCCCCTGTTAATATTAATCAGTTACATAAAGTAAAGATACATTAATATTAATGTAAATTTGAAATTTTCATAGATAAATGAAATCTACTGAAAACAGCGATGAACAAAAATAAAAAACAATATGTATGCAGAGATTTTAATTTAAAATGTTTAAAACTACAGACAATAATATACTTTTTCTTTGAGCAAAGACAAACCTTATAAAAATTGATAAGAAAGGATACAAATAGCAGCATTGAAATGTCAAATAGTTTTTTTTCTCATAAAATAGGTAAGACGTTAAAACAGTGTATTCCATACAAAATAACTGTACTATTATCCAAAATACAAGGAATGGTTCAGCTAAAAGCAAAAGAATTTTCGTTTTTGAAAGCTTTAAAAAACGTTAAAACATTACAAACTTAACAAAAATAAATACAATGTAATATCAATTGGGGAAGGGGTTTAAACTACACTGCAAAAACACGTTTGATAATTCATAAGTATTGCCGGAAAACTTAAATTTAAAGTTTTGAATGACAAGATATTTTTCTTTTATTTCCTTTCAAAATACATGTTGTACTATATCTATGAATATTTAGTATCACTATTTTAATATTTCTTGCAAAAGATGTTTTGTCATTGAAAAATAAATTTCTTTAAATTTTTGTTAAGTTGAACAATTCAAAACATATATGCAATATTGAATCAACTTATTATAAATGAATTAATTATAAGTAAAGACATTTTTACCATGTTTACCTTTTCCCTATACATGTCTTACTTTGTAAAAGAAGGAACAGCAAGGGATTAATACACGAATTAGCATATCCTAGCCAAATAACCGCTATCTCGACAATGTAAGGCATGTTGTATTTTGTGAATACTAAAATCTTTGTAACAATGAAGAAAGGTGACCAGAAAAGAAAGAAACTTCCTGTAAGAACTGCTATTGTTTTTGCAATATGCAAACTCTGGGATTCACTTCCGTTCCTATGATTTCGACTTTGTCCGCCACAAGTCAGATAAAATTTTCTTTTTGTACTTTGTTTCCGAACATGTTTCATAACAAGTGTGTTAAACCCGAATATGAAAAATCCCGGAATGAAAATGGTAACAGACGATATGATTAGATCATAATATATATTTACAACAAATCTACACTGTCGGGAGACGTTCTCTATGCAAGTTAATATAAACGGATCAATTCCGAGATGGTGAAATCCCGGCATGATGAAACCGAATGAAACTGTTGCAACAAGAATCCAAGACATAATAAACATTATAAACATATTCTTCCTGTTGCACACCCGTCCATATGAAAAGGGTTTACATAAGGCTATGTAACGTTCAAAAGTTAAAACAGACAAATGAATTATTGATGCAGACGTAAGCATGACGTCTAAACTGTTCATCGCAGAACACGCTGTTACTCCAAGTAATTGTTTCATTTCCATGAATTCATTTGCAATACTAAATGGCATCAAAGTTATTCCAACAAGTAAATCTACGGTTGCTAATGACGTTAGAAAAAATCGTGTAAACTCTTTGTGTTTCCGCCTTTTGTTAATGTACACAATGACAATTGCATTGAGTATAAGTGCACCAAACATGAAAACAGAAAGAACTAAACACAAAATTATGTTTGTAACAAAATCCAACTGTGTAGTTCTAAACGCGGAGCAGGACACATTTGTCTGGTCATAAAATTTGTCTTTGTTTGACATCATATCCATTTTGTTTCTCTTTCTGTTATGTGAAAAATAAACATTATCTATTTGCTTGCAACCTGCTCTTTGATGCGGCTCTCAGAATTGTAACATTTCCTTCTGTGATGCTATCAAACTGACGAACTCTTTTGTATCTAACTTATATACGAGTTATTAAAAAAACATTTAGTATTGTTTTTTATATTTTACATTATTCCTTTTTTATTTAATTGTAACACCAAACATTTTTACAAACTTAGCCGTACAACGTCAGTTGTATTGTACACACGCGAAACGCGCTCTAATATAAATCTATCTATGTACTTATGTCTGAGTCAATTATTTATTACTATGCTTGCAACATGTTTTTCATGATTCATGCGCTAAAGGTTCAACGCTCGCAAAACAATACTGCCTATCAGCCAAATTACAAATATATCTTTAAATATGTTTCTTCACCATATGTGTTTATATAAGTTTAGGCATGAATCACGAAATAAGAAATATCTAAATGATAAAATAGAGAAAAAAAATCTTTAAAGAACGCCCAAAATAACAATCAATTGAAATTGTTGTAGACTCGTTTAATTTAAAAAAAAACTTTATTCGAATTAACCTTATTCATGCCAAAACAAACACGTGACTACAAAAATAACTATAATCCATCCGTTTATAAAACTATCCCATCTGCCATTTCTAAATTAATAAAATAATTCAATTTTGTTTTCTATCTTGCAAGTTTGCCAGAAATATCAAAAGTCCACTTCACTTCAATGTTTAACAAGTCTCTTCTGACTAAATCATTTTATTAACTTTCATTTCGATGTATTTCCTCTGGGATCGCATTCACCAGAGTGTTAACGAAATTTAATTTAGCAAATGATAGCAAAATACCCTGCAGGTTTATCATCAATTATATATCAAAGATTGGTATTTCTATATATATATATAGAGTTAAAGCAAACACATGCTAATGGGTTATTTGAGATAACATTGGTCTTCAATATTCATCATTTTCCAACCGTAATGGCCGTATTACTTAAAGTACTTTTACAATTTTACAATAGAATAATGACCTTTTTACATGATGAATATTGTGAATAAACATCAAATTATTAACGTAAACTATTAATTAAAACATTATTAAAAACAAAGCTGTATCATTAACAATTACTGTTTTGCTGTAAGTTAGACATACTATTTTTGCTACCACAACATAGCAGCTATGTATTTGGCTAACTTACAAACTTAAAAATATATTTCTTTAAGTGAATTGGTCAATAATTGAAAGTCTGCAAAACCATGAAATATTTTGTTGATATTATCCATCATACATGGCAACAAACCGCAATGTCAGGAATAATATATTGATCTTAATATTAATACCATTAATATTGATAGATCCCTACTCTGACCTTTTATTTGAATAACAATAGATTTAACCACAAACATTGACATGTGCTCTTTTATTAATAAATATGTTGTGGTGAAATTCTTATTGTATCCATTTATATGATAATTAGAATTAGACAGGTTGGGGATCTATGCATTCATACTAAATTTCCCCCATTTGTTATCAATAAAATATTTTGAGATGATATTGTGAGTTTTTACTTTTAATCTATTATTTTACCAGTATTTGAAATACTTATGGACAATCTGCCCATTGTTGTTCTATTTGCATTTAAATGTTATCATTGGTTTACAAATCTCTCAAAGAAATCTCAAGCTGATTTGAGCGTTTATTTAAATTTACTTTGTAAAGCAGTAACTGTTGATATCACATTTGAAATATCATTCCATACAATGGTAACATAAAGTAGTCGCAACCTGCCAACTCGCCCGTAAAAAGGGGAAAAGGGTATAAAAGGGAGTTTTTTTATATGTGCAGAAAACTGTCAAGCAAGCCTTACTGTTTTAAATGTGTTTTAATTTATTCTGTGTTATGTGCTGAAGGACAAAACTACTCTTATCATTATGAACATTCTTGATATTAAATCTTTAAATTTACTAAATATCAAAACTAGTTTCATATTAGAATTATTGATTTAATTAATAATATCCTCTTAAAGTTATCATGCTTTTGATATTTTAATTGTATTAATCATATTTCTTTTTTTATCCATTATAACTATTTTACAGCCTTGTAAGTGTTTATAAACTATACACATCATTCATTTTGGAAATGTCTTGGAACTAACTGTGCATTTATGCACGAAAGGATACTTTATAAGATATAAGAACGAAGAAAAATAGTTTAACTTTCCTTTTTGTCGTAGTTCTGTTATGGTTTCTAACATTACAGAAAATTACAATTTTGAGGAGATTTTACACATTCACTGGGCTTCAACATGTATAGTTATCTCTTCTTTATACATATACGAGGGGTGTTCCAAAATTAATGTTACTCGGGTTCTATCTCGTGGAAATCGTGCTATATGAACTCAAATCCATTACATGTCGATAGCGTGATACCTTGAGAGTAGTATTTGGTCAATATCTCGCTAACCTTGGTACTGTGTACATTGTTTTGCAGCGTACTCGTTACACTCACACAAATATGGTTGGAAAGAGAGCTGAAAACGTGATAGAAATTAGCCCCAATATCAAAGGTAGGCCTCTGTTTGGCTTAAAGTTGAAAGATATTCGATGTTTTGTTATTATGGAAGGTCAATGTCCGTATGTGTTAGTGAGTTGCTATTTAAGCTGGAGCACCAGCAGCTGAAATATTATGGTCCTGCAACAACAACGTTCCAAAAATAACATTTAGACCAATCATGAAGAAAACGCAAGGTACACTGTTCAGCAATGTGAGCCAAGAATGACCACTTGACTTAAGCAGTGTTCATGGATTTTGAAGAAACATTTTTGGTTAGTTAGATAATTTTAAGTGTACCACATATATCTGGACAACCAAAACAGATGTGGGTCCGACTTGAAAAGTCAACTTTTGTTAAAAAAATCCGAAATACAGTCTATTTAAGGCTTTCGGCAATCTTGGTCAAGGTGACGAAAAATGGGGCAGTTTTTCCGATCAAAACAATATAAATAATGATACTGGCCACCAAAAACGCACGACGCTCCAGCATTGCTTAAAGATACGAAACGTTTTGAAAGGTTTTGTATGTAATATTCTTTGATAACAAGGGCCCAGTCGTGCAAACTCCTGTGTCGAAAGGTAAAACTGTCACAGGCAAAAACTATAGAGACGTTGTACTTCGCAAACTTAAGAAACACTCGTATGTTGAATACTTTTCGCGTACGCTGTACAATAATAACAATTTCATTTTGAAAACCTCTAAGCAATTCACAGTAATACAATATAACTCTTATTGCGTATTGCAATTATTTAAGAAAGATAAATAATAAAATAATAACAATTTAATAAATAACTGAAGATTTGATATTTTATTTTAATGATCAACAGCATTACCGTAAATGAATACTGATGTTATGAAATTAAAAGAAAATGCGTTTGCTAATTTCAGTTGATGAGAATGTAATGGAAAAAACTTAATCCTGTGGACACACATAACTATGGAATGATGATCTTTTAGTGTTAATATCATTGTGTTATATTAGTGTTTATTCTCAGAATAATTGATAAAAATTTTATAAGCAACATAAACACTATCACGTGATTATGCTACAAAATAATATAAAACGTATTAACTTATAAATCATCTCAATGTAGGAAGCTTGATAAGTTTTTAAATGAAAAGATAAGTAACACAGAGCTGTTAAATTCTTTGATGTGTATGTGATCGCATTAAGATTAAAATGTTTCTTATTAAACTATATTAATTTATTAGGAATGAAAAACTGAAGAATCGTTTGCTGTTTAATGGAAAAATCTCGTATAACTACTAATTTGAAATATATAAAAATACCATTTATTCATAACAAGAAGTAGCTGAATATGAGAATATATTTTCTATACAATCAAGCACAATTACGGCTTATATTCAAACATAGGTGAAAGTAGAGTCTATCGGTTATGATATTACCAGGCTCTGAAACAGGATTGATTATAAGCACAAATGACATCAATAATCAACAGATCCATATTTTGCTAATTCAGAAGAAATCAGTTAAGTCTTTGATTTCAAGTAAATTTGAAACCAATCTCCAATGCATTAAATAAAACAAATTTCAAATTGTTTTTTTTAATTATTTTTTTTAATTGTTTATATATTTCGCCGCCAACAAAACAGATCTGTTTCATGTTTTATAACCATTTATATAAAAGGCAATAATCTTAAAAAGATATTTAGTTAATGACTATTGTTTTATAATAAATTTCAATGCAAATCCCCGGGGAAAGAACAAATATTTATTTATTTGAAATAAATATCTAACTTAAGAAAAAAAGTTTATAAATTTGCAATATCAAATATGTTGTCTATAAAATGTGTAACTTATTACTTATTATTACATCTACTTATTATATCTTACATATACGGGCATGTATCAAATAGCAGTAAAGTTAGTCTAATGGATAAGATTCCTTTATAACACTCAATAATATTTTACAAAGAATGTAAAAGTATACAGTTTCATCATAATAACCTTTGTTTAAAGAGGATATATCTTTTTCGATACATTATAAGACATGAAAGAAGAGCCTTGACTTTTTCCAGACAGTTCTTTGTTTACAAATCTTCTTGTGGATAAAATGATATATAAAATGGAAATTACTTTTCATAAGGAAGCAATAATTGAATTCAACTTTCAGTAAATAGGTAAAATTATTTTTTCAGAATGTTTTTTTTATGATAAAATGAAAAACAATATACCAAAAACTTACCGAAGGGGGATTCCATAATTGTCATAAAATATCTAATTGAAAATAACATACGATCGCAAACAGATATAATATTAAAATACCAAAACATAAATTTTATACAATTACAAACCAACAATAAAAAAACCGAAAAGGCCCCCTCACATTTTTAAAGTATAACATACGATAAAACATGTTCTGGTACATCATATTATTGAGGTTTTATACTTGTCCAATCTAAACATAGGGACGGGTGCTGCTATTTTGAGTTCTATATTTGTAAAGGATTGCTAAGATACAGTAACGTGCTCTAAGGATATATTAATTAGAAATCAAAATATTCAGTCTCGCCCGAAAATGTAAAATATGAGCACGTATGCATGACGGTTCTTAATATGTTTATCTTTTACTCATAATTCAGGCGTAGAGTTAGATATATTGCTGTTTTGTAGTATTTGTATAGATCAACAACTATAAATACGCGAGCTATATCTCTCATCATGTTCAAATGCGCTTGAACAAATTACCTAGCCGCTGTTTTGGCTGTTGTATCTCGGAAACTAAATTTACTCATCCAAATCTCAACTATCTAGAGTTAGATATTTGTTTTGTTTCATTTTTAGTACACCTCTATCAAGTGTCAACAAGTTATGTCCCGGAGGTCAAAATTGGCCTGGCCCTGAAGTCACTTGAAGAACATAGAGTCATAAATGCTTTTTGAGTCCCCTTCATAATTACAAAGCATTAAACCTTAGATATCATAAGTGTGGCAATGTAGACAGCTAGAAGGTTTGTATTTCTTCTCAATAACTGAAGTGTCACTAGTATAAAGGTCTTTTGTAGCATTTAAAGTACACTTCTGTCAGATTTGTTCAAATCATTACCCTAAAGTCACAATTTGTCTCTCCTCTCTGGGGTCACATGCTTTGTCATAGACTCAAACGGGGAAAAAACTGCTCATCTAAAAAAACAAGGCATAGAGCGAAGATTGTCGGTTGGCTCATTACCTTCACGAATAAAATGGACTTCATGTTTGGATTAAAGGGTCGTCATAACCCTCTTTTTATAAAGGATATTTGTTTTACTTACGCACATTACAGCTTGATTATTTGAATCCTAAATGTCGGTTTGCTGTTTTCCAAAAGAAAAGTAATCATAATTATGAGATTGTCTCTGATATTAAAATATCAATTTCATCTGCACATCTGCACTGTTTAATCTCATTGCTTAATTATTTAAAAGCAACATTTAATTCGTTTGCGATAACTGTAAATAGTTATAAACAAACGAGGGTATGATGATAGTTTCAAAAAATCAATTTGAAGTTGACAATCCATGAAATCAAACATCAATCATTTTAGCTGAAATCATCAATCAACAGAGGTTGTTGAATTAAATTTTATCCCTACAGACCTTCAATGAATTGGATATTTTCCGGAAGGTATTAATAAAGTATTATTATATAGCTCCACCCATTGCTGTCAATAATAAAATTAAACGATATAAAAGAACTTGGAACAGATCTTTTATAATAGATGTAACATTGTAAAATGATTTGGCAGATAGCGAGTATAATTCTCTGTGTCAGTGGTGAGTTGAAAATGTTTATTTGGAATCTATGTTTTTATTATTATTAGTTTTTATTTTATTTAAACACCAGTCTCTTTTTATTTTAATTCAAGCGAATTATTACACTTTATTACACATTAAAACTCAGAATTATTTTTATCTAATTATTGTTAGACACGCTTTGGCAAATTATTTGTAAATGTACAATGACAGTATCATGCTTGCTATACTTACTAACTACAATATTTACTAGACTGGATCGCGTGTCCATGGACAGTAGTTGAATTGCAAATAACAATTTATGACCCCTAGCGACGGCTAAACAAATTTAACGTAAAAATATGAAAATAAAATGATATTTAGAATCAAGATTACATCCGCCGTAATATTCAAGGCGATGATTATGGAAAATTCGGATGTAATTTATCGTTCGCTTCTGAATATTATTTACGTTCAAGCCATTACTTTAGTATTGATATCATATTAACATTTATTTTTATTTTCACAAATTCCAATGAAATACTTTGAAATGTCATAATATTTGAAATCATTTAGCTATTCCGTATTATGCTTTAGTAATCTAATCCGATTAAATAATAAAAAAGATATTTTCGGGTAATATGATTATTTTAGCTAAACTATATTTAAGCGTATTTAATATCATCAAACAGTGGTTACCAATGTTAACGGAGAAAGACATGGACGTTTTAAGCAATCCTTTTGTGCAGAAATCAACGGAATCAACTGTTTACCTTTTCCACAAAACACTGGTAAATTATCTACTAAATTTCATGAATTATGCTAGTTTTAAAAAGTGTTAAGATGGTAAAAAAATACTGTGCGATAAGACATTTATTTGTAATAATTATAACATTAAGATGTTGATATACGAGTACTATGTAAATTCAAGCATTTTGATTTGTTTATGAAAGGTATTGAAACCGTTTGAAATAAATTATGTTGCAAATTAGATAAGACAATTGCTTTTCACAATCTGTTATTATTGACTAATACGCTTTCATCCTTACTACATTTAAGGTGTATCTCTTGTTATTCATTTATAAACTCACTGATTTAAAATTTTAGTTGAAAAACCAAGTCAGTGGCCAGCCGGACCATTTGTTCTACCAATGTCCATATATGGATGTCCAGAGTCGCATGCTCATGGTTGGAGAGAGGGATACATTTCTTTGACTTTCCATGAAACAATTCAAGTGTACACTTCTAGAGGAAATACAAGTCTTTATGATTATAATCTACTAATGGTTGATATAAATTGGCCGTTTTCTACGTCATACGTGATGGGTCCGTTAAGTGGTAAAACAATTAAACTCAACTTCTGCTATAAGCAAAGAAAATCAAAGACGTTAGATGTAGATGACTGGTTTCAAGGAAATTACAGTATTTATTCAGCAGATGGTACATGTCAAAAAGGTAAGAATAATTGCTTTGCTATTTTCATTTCAATATTTTTTTGTAAAGAAATAAATCCCATCCATATGCAACATTGATATCCGTTAAATAAGATCAAACTTTTTGGCTGGTGTGATGGTCTTAGGACTTTATAATCAAGATTAAAGAAACCATGAATTCTAAGGATTAAATTCTTCTTTTATTCGTTTTTATAATACTTTAGGATATCACACGCTAATATAGTGTTTGATAAGCTACTATAGGGCAACTATTATTCTTAAAGGTATTCCATTGCTTTGCATTGACATCACCACTTCGACTTTACAGGTAATCTCAAAGCTGATATGTTAGTATATAGCTGCCCTGCTTTTAGAAAACCACAGTATGATACTATAGTCTTATATGGATACACTCCAGTGCTTTGATGTAAATATCAATTGACGATCACGGTAAGAATTCTTGATAACAGCTTAGAATAAAAAAGCAAATTTTGCCAAGAGTATATGCTAATGTTTCTAATTCAACATGTATATCGGCGAAAATATATGCATCTAGAACACGATATTTACGGTCCATTATAATACCATTACAATAATTTCTTAAATTGCCTGATGTTGTAAAAGTAAACAGATGGAGTAGATTCTACGACGCACGGTGATATCTGCCATTATAAGGTATCAAATGTAATGACATTACCGTTAACTTGACACTGTATAAATATAAAATGTCTACAAAGATTAATTTACAAAAGACCATTGCTTAAAATAACATTTGAAATACATGTATATTATATATTTGTAGTATATAATGTGTTGCACTTTAGTGTAATGGATAAATATTACAACTATTTAGCTCAAGAAATTGTTACATTTACAAGCAGTCAGGGGGAAAGTGAACGTGAACTGCTAACGAATGTATTAGATAAAACTCAGCATTGCGACGTCACTTTTTTATTAATGAAAATTGAATTTTAGAAAAAAGTAATAAGTTAAAAAAGTTTAATATAAAATAATATTACGTTGCATTACTGGCATTAATAATGATAAATTCTATATATTTAAATGAATGGAATATATATTAAACACTCTTTGTTATATTTCAAGCCATTCTTCAATTGCATCTGTGCTCACACTTACAAGAAGGAGATATAGATGTTAAATCAACTTATAAAGCACATCCATTTATATTACTTAAGGTAAATAAACATCAGTTATCCTTATATGTACAAAGCAGATGTCTTTATTGAGCCTATGTATGACCATTTACATATCATTTTGTGGTCTAAGAAGAGCAAAATACTAAGTTAACAAAGTTCAACATCAATGGGCGATAGTTCAAACGTGTAGTTCAGACACGTGTTTGGCCAAACTTTAAACATAGATTATTTCCCCCTTGAAGCCGATTGACATTGGCATTTGCCATATTAAAAGCAAGTGGAAGGTATATGAGTTCTTCTCAAAGATCATCCAAAGAATATCTCGTTTTCCACCAAAGCCCTGAACATAGTTTTCATTAAAACAGCAGTCTCAGTTTAATAAAATCAAAAATAAATCAACTTACCTTTTTCAAAGAATGTATTCGTAGATCTTCTATGGTTCACCTTTCATCAAACAAAAAGCAACAAACATACTACAAAAGCGGCAGTTAACGACAATGTTTAAATTCCTTCGATACTATATAAAAAAATATTGTCTGTTTATTTTATTCGATACTATATGTAATTTTGATACTCATGATTTAGATAAAACAACAAATACCCTATATCGTCAATCAAAATATATCTAATTTAATTGTTTATATATTTTAGAACAGTGACAATGAATGTCCGCAATTTTTTGAGGAAGAAACACTGGGTTTAGGCACAAATCTGAGCTTGGAAACCTCCGTTTTACAGACGTACTGTAATTTCTATCCAGACAGCTGGTTAACAGGTATATTTTATATAAGTCATGTCATCTTGGTTACTGTAAGCCGTTTGGGGTGCTCTTTAATCTTTAAAATGAATAATTTATTACACTATAGGGTAAGAACACCACATCATATCCAATATGAAAGAGAAATTTTTATTTGATATCCTATAAAACTTGTGCACGTATAAAGGTGAATATTTAAACATGCAAAACCTTCCTTCCTCTGCGACTTTTGTTAAAAAAAGATTAAGAAAATAAATTCTTCATAAACAAATTTAAGAGGATTTTGCTATATGACTTATACACACTCCTAAAAAATAATAAAGCAAGTATCTCTTTCCAGTTGATGAAGACAAATTATTTGAAGCTCTAATAGCCGGTGGTATGTAATATATTGTATAAATTTACAGATGTCGATAACATTATGTTAGATTATTATGCTTTTGTCTGTAAAACATTCATATAATCAATTAATGTCCCTGCATCAATTTTTCTCTTGGTCTTAAACCAATAATCCTGAGGTTTCTTTATAAATAATACTCTAGGTTCTTCATCAATAATACTCTTTGCCCTTCATCAATTATTCTGATGTGTATTTATAAATAATTCTCTTGGTCCTTCATAAATTATCCTCTTGGTTTTTCATCAATAATTCTGATGTGTCTATAAATAATTCTCTTTGTCCTTCATAAATTATCCTCTTGGTTCTTCATCAATAATTGTTATGCTTTTATCAGTAATCCTCTTCAATCTTGCTGAAAATTTAAAATGGTCATTGATCATCTTACGTCTTACTTTGTAATTGTCATATCATGTAACCGTTTAAAATGCAGGAGGCTGTTACAAATACAAAATACAAATATATTGATCTATACATATATAAATTAAATGATTGACTTTCATTTCAATGTGGAGCAGGTTCACCATTTTTGCCAAGTCTTGACGTGCTGTTTTCTCTTCTTGATGAAGTTAATTGTGTGTTCGATGTCTGGGAATGATTTGTCTCTGATTGGTATCGTTATTGTAATTATCATAATTACTATCACTATCCTTACGGTTTTATCAATTGTATATTTTTCATTTTCATATTTATACACTAATGTTATGTTTATCAGCAAATTCTTCTGTTATGATAAAATATAAAGCATTGCGACTTATTCTTTTTTTGTAGCACTCATATTTTCACCTCAGGGATTTATTAGTGAATGGAATGTTTCACAGAGTTCCTATATGTATGACAAGTTATACGGTACGTGGTGTGTTGATATGATTTTATGAAGACAAGTAAATAATATGTCTGATAGGCTCGATAATGGTAAATGTGTTGACAACAGGTTACATGATAAGTTTGATTAAAGATATATACTATGCACATCTTTGAGTAAAATAATTTTATAGCAGAAATTTATTGAAATCTATGAAATTCTTACTGAATATGTCTAATTTCAATTAAACAATTTTAAAAACTATTAATTGGAAGCTGCATTCCCTATTACAGGTCAAGTAAAGTCGGTCCATTCTTAAAAGAAAGTGCCAGTTATTTTTAATGACACTTTTAATTCAAATTTTGGTCTGTTGTAGTGTGTAGAGTTTACAAAAATAACATATCTACTCTGTACTCTGTGTGAAGTTGAACCACGTTGATTTTATATGTACAAAAAGATAGTGTATATCTTTTAAGTATGTTTACATGTTATGTTAACTTTCTATATTGTTAGCGTTTTGAAAATCTATGACGAGCAGCTGTACGTTTAGTTTGATGTCGGTGATGTTAAGTTGGCAAGTTATCAGTTTAATGGGTGTGTTGGCATGCCCCGTATTAATGTCAGGATGATAACTTATATGGTTTGTAATGTTACCGGCGAGAAATCAGAAATACGGAAAGGGTGTTGATATGTTATTACAATATTGTATTTTTGCATGAAGCGTGTTAACGGGGAGAGTTTGCTATGATGACAAATGTGTTTCCCTGTCATGATAATAGTGATTAAAAAGTTACTGGTGTTTTGTTTTAGGTATCAACATGGCTGCAACGGATGAATTTTTTATTTCATGGATAAGTGTGGACATGGGACGAACTATTTCTGTGTTTGGTATAAAGATAGGGCTAAATACACTTACACCAAGCCGAAAACAATACAATTTAGGTAAATTCGTTAGTACGTGTATAAATCAAGGTAAATGCGTAACTATATACAGATTTAATGAATGTTAAATAATGTGCATACCGTTTAATTTAATATATAACTACCTTCATACAGTTAAGTAAATAATATGTTAATAATAGGTTATATTTAACACATTATCTAGTAAATGTTTAATGCTGAAAATTAAATCTTTTCAAATGTGTAAATTTTGAAAATGTATAAAAAAGTAAAATACATATATTGTGAAGTGAATAAAGGAAATATTTTTCAAATATTGCAAACATCATAAGCATCCCATATAAATGACAAAGCAAAAAATGTCCAGAAAATAAAAGAAAAAATAATCCTTGCGTCGTTAGTAACGCAGTAGAAATATGGTTAAAAAATACTGGGAAAAAACTGCAGTGATCGCACATAACATGGACATTATCACTTTTATATTGAAACTTTTTCCTTTTCTTACATCTCTGTTTTTCGTTTCACACGTTTTTGATTTTCTTTAAAAAGTTTTGTTTATATTGATTCTTGTAGCTTTAATCTTTGCCAAAAAAAGAGAAAGCAATCAGTTATTCATGCAATATTGAATACAATATAATGTAATTTATGACACATTTTGTCAACACTTTTATATAAATATGAACAGATAAAAATGTTATTTCATTTATTTCCTTTAACTATTTTTTTCCTTCATTAAGGTAACGTAACAGTTATATAAAACACACGCAAAAATGTTTAAGAAATGGATACAAAATGTATATTAGCCATAAATATGGCCTCTTTCCAGGAGGTATAAAGTTATTTATTGTTGGCACATGTATATAAATGTATAATCATAACGACACTTAGTGGTTTATCTTTGAATTTTAGATCGTACATTTGAACCGACAAATACGACATATCCTAGCTGTATGATAAGTAAGGGTCAATGGGATTTTCTGTACTTCGGTGCATTGACATGTCCTACTGTACCTTATTTCCAGGAAGATCCAGATACCATTGTCCTAATGTTTCTAAGGTAGGTTATTATTTCCCTTTATTTATGATCCAATTTATTGCAACGAAAAATTACATAATTTTACACTTACATATTCGTTTTCTTATTTAAAACCTGATATATTAGTTTAGTACACTAGTTTATTTCATTTATTGATATGCGTTTACCATTTTTCATATTCATGCATGTATATGTTTGTTGTATAATGAAGATGAGCTGTATATGCTTAATTCAAAATAAAATATATGTTCTGTTCTGTTCTATATTTTTTTAAGAAATATAATTAATTTTTACATTTGTTTTATTGTGTCCATTAAATACTAAAAGTGTGAACTTATTACAGCTTGTATCTCATTTTAATTGTCTTGACCACTTTCAAAATCACACATAAATTTATCTTTGAGTAGCAAATTTGTTTTAATTTATTGCATCTGTATTCCCGCCAAACGTCTACAATCTGTTTTCTGAACGAGGTCAAAGACTACAACGCTATTATTGAAGCTTCAGTATTAACACACATACTCGAATTCTCTATTATTAGAATAATCTCACGGTCAAGTGTTCTTTTCTTAGACAAATGCTCTACGCTTCTATATTTTTACACTGTCAAGTGTTCTATGTTTTAGTATGTAGCACAAAATCACGTGCCTTTTTACTTAATGATACTATACTATGATATATTCGGAAACTGTCTCAGTTATTAATTGTTTTTAGGGAGACTGAAGGACGCTTTGTGGCAGTGATTGGTGGAGCTGAAGATTTATACATGGAGGCAATAACACATGTCGATATCCTAACAATACGTGTTTCCTATGGTATGTTTTATAATGTAATTAGATGTAATTGAGTTCGGTGTCTGTATTTTCTAGTTGGTTTCCTGTGTTTAACTTCTTGCTGAATATTCAACAGCCATTTTAGGACATAATATGCAAAACGCTGTTTCTGACAGTTGTGAATTTGTACAAATTTTATATTTGATATTTTTGAATTGGGACATTTATGTACAGTGCATTGTGATAAATGACATTAAAATATTGTATTCATATTTTATTCAATTTATTTTTTTTTGTAATTGGCAATTCTTTTTTTTCAATTATATTTTCAAAAATGATTTCCATCATCATTGTTATAGACAATTATGGAAGTTGCAACATTGATCTTGGAATGAAGGATGGTTTTATTCAAAACGACCAGATATCTGCCTCTTCTAAAAACTACCAAGCTGGCAATTCCCGGCCGTACAACATTGGCTGGTGCGCCGATAATGTAGACAACACACCGTATATTTTGGTACGAATTTAATAACTGCTTATCTTTTTCATTTATTATTCTAAATATTCATCAATAGACTATAACCTCAAAGTTGTGTTATGTATAATAACATATTTAAATGCTGGCTGATTTTCGCCATGTCGTATTTTCGATTTTCCACCTCAATATGCAAAAATGCGAAAACACGAAAGAACCGTGTTTTCGCTTTTCCGGATTTTCGAGACAAATAAGCAAAACCAGGACAGACGTAGGGCGAAAAAACGACACATAAAATCTAGTAAGCCAATACTAGTAAACACGTGCATGTACTGATAACGAATGAATGAAAATAACTTAAATAAAGATTGGCTAGTTCTGATTATATAAGAGATACGATTATCATATTTATAAATAGATGCAAATTCATTTCTATTTACAACACTTGCTGAGCAGTTTTTTGTTAAGGAATTTGGAGTATTAGCAATTTGACTTTTGACTAGCATATCGGTTAATAAGACGTATTTTATTATAGATTGATCTAGAAGACACAAATACACTTGACGGTATATCAGTGTGGCCATGGATCACGGATAAGATTTTCGTTCCAGGTGCTCTCAAATTTGATGTTTCATTTGCTCTTGACAAGAACGAGTCATTCATCACATATGAAACGGTTTGTTAATAATTTAAATATAATTGAAAGTTTTGCATTTCTTAATTTTAAAAACAGTAATTTAGCATGACTTTATTACCAACTTCTTAAAGCAACCAATAAAATAGCAGTAGGAATTTTATGATATACTGTATAGCGCAAATCCAATCATGATCGCACATAATGTGTATGTAAATGAACATTGGTGATTTATTCCAGACATTTCATAGTGATGTATCAAATCCAGTTAATAAACAGCAGTACTTTGGGTTTTTGAAATCTTTTCAAGCCAGATACATAAAGATACATATACTGGACCCATTTACCGACGAATACAGTTGTATTCGTTTTGAACTTCATGGTTGCAGAACGAAAGGTAAAAGCAATTATTTACAATAAAACTTCATGTATTGCCCTGCATTTTTCTCCGTTTAAATTGTCTGTTTAAATTACAGATTGAACTTCACTCATACACGAGTCGGTAAATAACAATTATCGCGAGGTTTAACAATATAAACATGTAATTATTATCTCGATTCGGTATAAACACCCAATTATCACCCTAATTTGGTATAAACATCCACATTTTATCCTGAGTCAGTACAACTATCAAGTTATAATGCCTAATTCACAAATAACAATCGGCCGCCGGGCGGCGTCTCCGACATATCGCAATATCGGCCGACGTTCGTCCGGCGGCAATGACAAAATCGGACGGCAGCAGCTGAACATTTTGCTCATCAGGTTTGTAGTATAACTTTAAAGCTAACGGCGAGAGGACGATAATTTATTAGGTCAGTAAGTTAAAAAAAATCATCGGTCAACGAACGGTGCCCGAAAAAAAATTTTTTTTTGAATCCGGCGATTGTTTTTGATACAAAAACACCGTCCGATTTTTAAGCAAACCGGGTGAACATCGCCCGGGCCCTGCCCAGCGCCCGAATCGACACCAGTTGGCGAACAATTATCACCAGGTACCCGGACGATTCATGGGCAGGCACCGGGCGATCATCGTTTTGTCGTGCGGTGACCTGCCGGCATTAGTGAATTCGTTTGGATTAAACATGAACTTATTCGCAGATTATTCTTGAGGCAAAGGCAATATATAATTGCATCAACAATTATATATGTTAGAACATGATTAGTTACATATATATGTATTAATATTGTTAAAGAATAATAGAAACATGAGATTTTTAACGAGAGCGTGCGTTTATATCAACAGTTCTGAACTATATAAACAAATAAAATAAATTATTATTTTGCTATGAATATGGGACGTCAGTAGCGAAGTAAAGCAGTTGATAAATAAGATAACAAAGATAGTTTACAGATCATATTTATTTATATTCAGTTAAAAGTATAATATTATATTACAGAAGAGCACAAGATATTTCCTTCAGTTTACATGTCTAAACCCAGAGTAGCTACAATTGAATTTGTACAAGTAATTACTACCACACAAATGATATCAAGTATAGGGTTCCCAGTAAAATACCAAGGTGCCCAGGACTATAAGTGGATTATACAATCAAAACAGAAGTACATTAGAATTGTATTTACAAGAATATCTTTATCCAAATATAAGGTACGTGATCATTTCAGTATCGTCTGTTTAAGATTACTGATTTAATTATATAATAAAATTATACGATCGAATATGTTTCTATCTTGTTTTTGATTGCCTTTCTTGTCTTTCCATTTAGGAGATACTTGTGAAATATTATATTTCCTTAAAATATGTTCATTAAAAGAGAACGTCGTCTCAAATTCTTATAAAGAAAATGAAATTTTTGGGCATTAGGGATTATAAATAATGATGATGAATTGATTAATCTCATTTTACATATATTTGCTAAACTGTTGTTTTTTTTTTTCGATTTGTAGAAAGATTTGTTCGCAACATCAATTTGCAACGATTCCATTTGGCTGTCGAACAAGTTGATAAGAACTTTGGAATATTCTCAGGTTATTGATAATCGATTGAATGACGAGGCTTTTATGATTGATACAAGCTACACATTTCTTGTCCTTTCGTTTGTGACCTGCCTGCCTTCGACACGAAAACTAACCGATGGAGTTGGATTTGAAGCAATTGTGACATCAACAAGTAATAACATTTTTGTATCTGTTCATAGTCGATTCAGTTTATCTTTCTTGTCAAAATCATTTTGTCATTTTAATTATAATGTCAAGTTTTTAAATGGATTTAAAGCTTGCAACTGTTTAATATTTAGCATTTTGAATGCAGATTGATCAAAATTATTTCCACAACATACAGTGCAGGGGATGGTTTAAAATACAGAAACAGTAAGATCTATAATGTAATGATAAGAGATTACGAGAAATGTTCAGTACATTTTTAATAATACAGGGCCATACATATTTGTACAGCTGGACTTACAGTGTTGTTGTTTTGTGTTGCTGGGTTTTGGTGGGGATACGTTCATTGAATGCTGCCTTTCCTTGTTGATCGTGTTTAACTTATTTTATATATTTCGTTGTCTCGTCTAATCTCAAAGAATGTATTCTGATATTATGCTTTCAATAGTTCATTACTGCATCAAATTTATTTGAATTTAGGGGGTATTTGGACAGAGTATTGAAACGGTATATGCAACGGTTTTATGTTTACTAAATTTTGTCAATTTTCTTAACTGATAGAATGTCTTGTAGAGCATATTTTATTCTAAAGCGCGCAACATTCTTGTTAACAGTTGACCCAGCCTGTTTTAAATTAAGTACTTCCGTACTTAGTAATGATCGCAAGGAGCTATGCACAGAACCGTCTATGACCTTATCTTCGATGTCGATGTTAGGGCTTTTTCTTCTTGGAACGTCGGAACATTGGACCATACATTTACCTAGAAAGCGGATACAGCTGGTCTTCATAGATTTCTTTGTCGCATGTAAACCTAAAAGTATGAAACTTGTCTCACTTTCGGACCACCTTATATATTATGCTTGCTAGTTCACTATATTCAAATTATTCTTAATATTTATGTGGTAAGAAATAAGAACTTAATTTTAGGTGCAATATGGTTTAATGTTTTATTCAGATACAAAATCAATATAATATAAATTGATTATTTTTAGACATTGAAATATACACAAAGCAGTATTATACTAAAACGTACTCAAAATTACTATTTATTTCCATTCTCACTAATAGGTGCAAATAAAGGAAAATATGACACAGTCGACCCCGATTCCATAACCGGAATCTTAGCTTAATGTATATTTCTTGTGAAGTTTTGAAGTTTTAATACTGTTACAAGCATGTTTTTGTCAAATGTCGCCTTTTCCAACAACGTTGAAAAAGGTTGTTTTCACAGATGACAAAATACTAAGATATAGGCAGGGAAAATGGTTTTCTCTAAATAATCCTGTGATGATGCAAAGGAAACGAAACTAGAAACACATGTTTTTCTTTTTTAATTAGATGAAATTGGATCAGTATTTACGGTTATCGAAGCCACATATGAGCAGCGTTATTGCACTTTATCTCGACCCCCGGATATCATAAAGTCAGTGTCTGATATAGTGAATATCACATTTGAAAGATACCGTATATATGATGTTCATTATTCAGAAGGATTTCGACTGAAATATCAAGAAATGAACACGTCCTACGAACACATGATTTACTTTGAAACCAGGAGGACTGAGGGTATGATTTTGCTATTTATTTTTATAAATACATACTTAGTTTTAAAATGGTATTTTTTTTTTAATTTTATGTTCAATTTTAATAATTCTTTTATATTATTTCCTTCTATTTTCGTTTGTGTTTGAGTCATGCTAATACTATTATGTTCATCTGGTGAATTTCAAGCTTAACTATTAGAAGAAAACCACAGATACACAACCGTATATTATTTCAGGCACAAACAGACATTTGAGTACAAAACCCAGTCTTTTTAATTATAGCTTTAACGCTTCCTTGTACGACATAATCCAACCGTAACTGGCAAATGATTCTAAGTTAGCGACATTAATCAACCACTAATTATATAAATTTCACACCCATCTTTTTATCAAAGTAAAAGTATAAACAAATACAAAATATTAACTGAACTTTTTCTTTAAAAAAACAAAACAAAACAAAACATAAATTATTTAAATGAAGGATTTGTTGTGTTCCTCAACACTGTGCTTTGCATTTTGTTTGTAGTAACAGATATTGCGTTTGGAAAACCTGCATTCATGAAGAGCAGTAATCCCATTACTGAAAGAAATTGGCCTATAGAGAATGCAATAGCACAACAACGTAATGATGGAATAATCGGCTGCTTCTCTAGGGACGGATATTTTAATCATGTTTCTCCAGCGTATTGGTGGACAGTGGATCTACAGGATGTGTTTAACATTCATTTTATAGAACTACTCTATGCAGAACACATAAATTGTAAATAGATTTTTGTTTTAAAAATATCAGTGTGCTTAATTCTAATATACTAAGACAATGTCATAAAGTATATTATAACTAGAATTGTGTGAAAGACAAATCTGAGATATGTACATGAAGTCACATTAGTAACAAATAATTTATAAAAAATGTTACTATATTGATTCAAATAAGATATTCATTCAGTCCAATTGAATTGTGTCGCGCATTCAATAAAAATCTTTTTAGACAACTCAATAAGTAATCTACGTTTGTCTGTACGTTACGTTTGTTAAATGATATGCTTTGATTTTAAAATATTTATTGAGTGTTTTAAAGAAGGTGCTAAACATTTCAAACTAAGTCTTACATTTATTTAAAATCTTATCTCTGTAGACAGGATCATTGTTAGAAACACTGAAATCTATACCGGACTCGACTTAGAAGATATGCCTATGACCGCATTCAGTTGTAAAGTAGCGAGAAGGTGGGAAACAATACATCAGCGTAACATTCACGCGAGATTTGTACAGATAAAGCATTCATACAAAATATTAAAGGCGCATTCACAGTCGTCACTAAGCATAAGCGATTTGGAGCAGCTCGAGTATACAAACTTTTGTGAAGTGCAAATATTTGGAATTTTAGGTGACAGTTCAAATACATATATATCGGCAACCCTATATACTATGAAATGGTCTTCCATTTTATTTCAAGAAAAAGTTAACAACTACGATTTTCAATCTTTTTTTAAAAGCAATTAAATAAATATTCTATTACTTTGTACGTGGTTATTCTATCCAATATACACAAACATATCGTTCCATTGCATGTCCTAAAAATAATATTCTCTCACTTTTCATTTCTTGCACTTTCTTACATGTATTTAGATCAGGAATGTATTTGAAATATTTGATATATTTGATATATCTTTCTTTATGTATATATGAATTAAACCAGGTTTGCGTCTTGTTTCAGATCATGAAGTGAACTTGTCACGACGGAACAAAATCATAAAACAACTGAGGGGTAATTACGAAAGAAAAATCCTCATTTTAACTTTGCTTCTTTGGCGTTATAAAGCAAAAGTACCATGAGAACCCTTGATTATTTAGCTGGGATCCATTTTTAATATTATATATCGATTCAAAAAAAATAGAGTTACTGTAGTTTTACACACTTAAAAAACAACAAATATATTTAAAGTGTATATACTGAGGTACCACAAGACATTTGTGTGTGTCGATTCCAAATTATGACACTTGCAAAACTAAGTATGTGACAATCATTTCTTATTCAACCGATTTAAAATAATGTTTATGGTTTAGTGCATGAGATATATAAACTAAGCCTATAAAGTTATCGTATTAACTGCAACTTTACGATGATATCAAATTAATAAATTTCACTTTCTAAAGATACTTACTATTATAAATAAATATATATAGTATTAAACATTTAGTAAATATGAGAGTAAAAATGATTGGAACGTTAACACGAAAACTGCAAATCTGATAGAATTTTTAACATAAAATAGGAAATGTTAGGAGATTAGTAGCATAGAGTAGGAATTGTTAAGATGTGTTTACATATAAACATAAATGAGGACTTAAATATTATTTTTCAGAAAAGATGTCCTCGTATGAATATGACATTTATAAGAACTATTTGGTGTATCGTTGTCCAATAACCTTAGAAAGTAAGTCATGTGAATAGTTCTTGTTGAAAAACTTGTGAATATAACTTTATGATATAATGTAAAATTATACTGTTAAGATTCCTTCCTGTTCATTATATGTTGAAGATTTGTTTTCGGGACAAATTTCACTGTTCATTATTAATGTTATTGATTAGGACATCTCCAGAAATGCACGCAAAACATAAATTATACATTAGAAATAATTCTTCATTTTATGACATTGCTTTTATGTTTATGGCGATTTTTTTTGCTGGACAAAATATATATATTTTTACTTACATAATCTATATAATCGATAAATAACAGTCTGGAAATACAAACAAAACACATACGTATGCTTAAGAAAAACAATTCTCAAGCTTTGATAAAATCATATTATTTTTATACTTTTTTCTTTCCAATTCTAAAACTTTGGATTTTGTTCGTTGATTATTTTCTGCCACATAATATAATTTTAAATAAAGATGTATTTCATGGTTCGCTGAAAAATGTGTCCTTTATATAGAAAATGTCAATGGTACCTTTCATTTTTACATTACGGATGACTTTTGTTTCTTGTTTCCATTCAAATAGCTGATAGCACATTCTCAAAATGGTCGGCATGGAGCCCTTGCTCGGACGAATGTGGCGTTGGGTTAAGACAGAGATCAAGAGATTGCAAAAGATCGAACTGTGTTGGGGATAATATTGAGTATAAAAAATGTGACGGAAGAAAAAGCTGCCCAGGTATATATGTACACAATAATATTACAATGTTATATTTATATGTTTTGACATGTTACACAATTTGGTAATTATAAAATTAGAGTATAGTAGATTATAGAAAAAAATCACTTACCTTTTGTTCAAACGAGAAAATATTGACGACTATATTCAGAATAATGATTGTTAACGCTAAAATAAAGGAAAATGCATGTACTTAAGCTGATTTTTACCTTGCATCAAAAATATGTTTGGAAAAATAACAAAGATTACATATCATTATGTATAAAATATGTTTGAGACATAAAACCGAAGTGGCTTCTGGGAACACGTCAGATTTTAACAATAAATGCTATAGACACATTTTCATTAGTTAATTGATATAATTTCAGTGTGGGACTGTGTTTCAAAATTCGGAAAATGTTATAGTATATTCTACATGTTATCAAACTGGAAACTTGCACGAAAGGAATGTTTGCGAAGGAACCTTACACTTGTATCAATTCATTCTGTAGAGGAATTGCGTGTAATCAAATACTTGTTTCAACAAAAAAGATTTAAGTATATACCCGCATCAGTACAATTGCAAAGTACACAATACGGAGCAAGATATTTTACCCATATAGGTATAACGTATTACAATAACATCTATTTATAAAAAAAACATGACAGAAGCAGTTACTTTTTGTAAGATATATTTGAACATTTATGATAATGAAATAATTAACTTTTATATAGACCTTCGTCCAGCTTCAAAAATAGTGAAATCATTTTCTTTATATACTTTTATTTTCATGCTTAAAGGAGAGCTCCACTAGGGGTCAAAGGCCTAAAAATGCATTTTGAAATTCTGAGTACATAGGTCAACTGACAAACTTTAAACAGAGCAAATTGAAACAAATAGCAAAAAAATATACCCAATAATTGACTTGAAAATCAGGAGTTTGTGGGATTTTGACAATTTCAAATTTGAAGCGTTGAAATGTTTTTCATTTTTAAGTCATTTTGCGAAACAAATATAATCATTCTAGAAATTGAAGTATACGAATGATCTAAAATGTTGCTCCTCACATATTTTAGTTTAGGACTTACATCAAATTGTCTATAAAGTCTCTCAAACATATTTCTGTTCCCGTCATGTCAATTAAAAATTTTTGTGGAGTCCTTTCAATTCTACAATGTTACTTTCTGTAGCATTATTGTTTCAAATTCATACATTTATTTCAGGATTGTACCAGAGAACAAATAAAAATGGAGTTAGATATTATGCTTGGCAAAATGGAACTAAAACAGTTTATTCTGCATGGTAAACAAATAGTGTGTATGTTACACATGGACATATATTAAGGCATAGTGATATTGTCAATTTAACTTGCAATATGTAAATGAAATTTCAAAAATAGTTTATGCTGTATGCATTTTGTTTATATGAAAAAATATATCTAGTAAAATTCTAGGTATTAAAGATTTTCATCTTTAATGTCCTGAAAAAAAAAGTTCTGTGAACGGGCCTTCACATTTCATAGATATTGAGGTAAAAAGCCAACTTAAAAGTAAAGTTTCCCAGTTTTGCCGGGTAGTGAACATTAAATATAATAAATAAGCACTAAGAGATGAGTTGTAAAGTATGAATACATTTAAAAACAATTGCTTTCCTTATATATCTTTTTTATGATTTTTATTTATCTGCAACACTTTTGTCATGAATATCAAGTGATATCTTGGTATTTTGCAATGTATCTTAGACCTATGGGATCATTGATCTTAATATATCAAGTCTGTAAGTGTCACTAGTTGATTTAACTTAATATACTGAACTTCAAAGGGAATTTTAGACGTCGATAAACTTTAATGAAATATAAATACATTAAATTTGCAAATGGAAAGTAAAACAAAAATGCCTTTTATCGCTGATTTACAACTACTGTATGTAAACAAGTTTACAAGGTTAAGTGTTTTCTTTTTTAAGATTCTAAGTTATCTATAATACATAACATATTAATTAAACATTTTGTCAGGAAATCCGGCGAACCATCGACTGGTAATTGCGTGCGTATGGAATATAAATATTTTGAACCAGAGAACACTTGGGAAACTGAAGATTGTATTCAGACACTGGCTGACAGTTTTATATGTGAATCAACCGACTTCAGTAAAATATTCTGTGAGCATCATTGTTTAACAGTTCTTTAAATATGATTTTTTAAATGATGTAAGAAATACTTATTTTTTTTTCAAAACATATATATCATAATTATATAAGTATTATATTGGACGTTTCTGTTTTCCTTTTCAGCGAAATCGGTTACAGTTCTCAAAACAAAATACCTCGATTATACTAAAAGTGTTAGCAAGACATTTACGGGAAAGACTTGCCAACGATGGGATAGAAATACTCCGCATGAACATGCTATTATTCGATCTGACTTCCCAGATAATAGTTTATCAAGAGCTTCAAACTACTGTCGTGACCCACTCTTTGAAAATTATCTCTGGTGTTACACAACGGACCCGGAAACCAAACAGGAACCTTGCATAATCGATGGTATCTTTTATTTGTTCTGTTCTGACAATCAACGAATATATTTGTGCTATATAAATTACTTTTGGATCTGCTGATATGATCAAAATTTTGTATATATATTACATATTAAGACGTTCGAAAAATTTACAAATGTATTCAAATATAATTGAACTGTAGGATACGAACCTGAAAAATACTTTGATCTTGTCTCGACAAACCTAAATTACTTTTTTGTTTTCATGCTTGCGCATTTATTGTTGTAAAGATGCAAAACACATACTTATTTATCCATTCAGCTGAACAGGTTGAACCCTGCTTTCAAAGTATTCAGGCCTATACCGGGAAGCAGAACGAAACAATCGATGGCAATGCTTGCAGAAGATGGGATAGCGTAGAACAATTTTCGAAACAAAACAATTTGCATATCCCCTCTGAAAATTACTGTCGAGATCCATTTAACGAAGGTTATGTATGGTGCTTTACAGAAGAAAATGATGTTGAACCGTGTCTTGTTTTCAAAGAAGGTAACCAGTAATTTCGCTTTGATTTAGTAGTTGGCATTCGTATAATAATTTGTTTAGCAAAGTGAATTCATTTGAGTAACTTACGAATAAACGTCTAGCTAAGATTGAAATATGCTTTTTTAATTTTTATTTTGTATCTTCTTTAATATTCTTACTGTTTTCGTCAATAGCATGTATACTTCACACAAAGGGTAATTCTGAAAATAAAACTCTTTATTTTGAATGTTCTCAGATATATCTTTGCCAGTGGACTTTCAGTCCAATAATTCAAACAGTACATATCTGTGTCAAGACGGCAGTGGAGTTATACCAAGCAATTCCAGATGTGATCATAAACTTGACTGTTCGGATCTGTCTGATGAAATTGAATGTTTAGGACGCTATAATTGTATGTTTTTCTCTGCATTTCTAATTAGCTTATAATTAATTATAATAAATAGATAACTAATCATTATAATAATTCATGAATTATACAATAAATATAATAATTAATAAATTAATAAATAGATTTACAATAAAGTTAAGTGCTAACTAAAATACAAGAATCCAAAATCAATTAAGCATATATTATTTCACGGATATATATATAACAACATATTAAAATAAATTAAAATCCAAAGTAAAGGATTAGAACGGAAGACATAGTCTTATAAATATTATTCTCCTGGATTTACAAAGACGTTCTAAGAAACATACTGAAATAATAAATGATTTTATTATTATTTTTAATATTTGAAATATTACTAATAGTCTGTTTTTTTTCTTCAGTTCATAGACTAGTGAAACAATTTACAGACGATGTTAAGATTTCAGACACACTGTTGACAACTGCATACTTTAGATGTGGTTCGGGAGAGTTTGTTTCTATAATAGCACGGTGTGATCGCGTCAAGGACTGTCTTGACACATCAGATGAAGTTAATTGTACTTACTTGAAGGACACAACAGGTTTTTAAGACTTTTAAAAATAGTTGTGTCTTTTTATGAAATGATATTTCGTTGTGATATTTTATAAATGCATAATACCCAAGTATTTCCAAAATATTATGTTGTTTTCTTTAATACTTGAACATATAAATCATTTCATTGAAAATTGGTTGTCAATTGATAGAAAATGTTATGCATTTTGAATTTATTATAGAAACAAAAGAAAGTTATAAAATTATACATAATTTACATACAATAATATATTTTAAGAAAAATCGAGATGCAGTCAAGATGAGTTTATGTGTACGGACGGACACTGTGTCCATATCAGTCTAGTGTGCGACTTTGTGACAGACTGTGTAGATGGTTCAGACGAATACTGCAGTAAGATATCAAAGATTTTAGTATCAAATAAATAAGTATGTTGTTGTTGAAGTAAGCCATTATAAATTCTAGCTCTGTTTTTAAAATTATTATTTATCTAGAGACTATTGGTTAAGTTATGTCGATACAATGAAATTAGTGGTGGGTTTTTCCTATAATTTTAATAGCTTAATAATTTATTCTTAATTAGAAATGGGAAATTAAACAAAGTGCACTGGTTATATAAATGTTTGTTTGCAAGGTAAAGGGTTTGTAAATCCTTTTCAAAGACATTTGACTATATCAAAAATGTGTTTTTAAAATCCTTTATTTCGTCGTGGAAAAATTTAGAAATGATAATTGATTCATTTTTACTTATATTTTTATCTTTGTATCTTTTGAATTAAGACTTTGGTCCATGCTTGAGAACAAACTACCTATGTAATAACGGTCAGTGTATAGACCAGAACCAACATTGTGACGGATTTAGACATTGTGTAGACGGGAGCGACGAGGAAAACTGTGGTATTTATTTGGATTATTTTTCATTGTTTTTTCTTTGATTTCTTATGGTTAGGATATTTGATTCTGTTGATACTAAACAAACGAAACAATATGATCTGACTAAAAGTTATGAACTACGTATTTTCTTACAAGTAGATCTGATTTCCATCATATATGTTTCGCCTTAATTGAGATTCGGATTTCCCGAGAGTTCTATTTTCATCCATGCAATCAAATCGTCTTTTACAGATAGGCATTAGGCGACGTATCAATTTATCATTGTCTGTAGAAGTAAAATAAATTGTTGATGTTTGTTAGAAAAAAAAGTGTTTGAAGAAATTTTAAACACATTAACTGGGAAGTATATGCACAATTAGTAATTGGCAAGATTGATTTGCCAGTTTACCTGCCTGCTATATGGCAACGCCATATTTGTTTCGAAATCGTGATAATTACCTGATTTTATTACAAAGAAATTTTAACATTATTAAAATTTAAATTAAAGTTTGACTGATTAAAATAACTTATTCTTTATCAACCCTTTGAAGTGTGTCATTGTATCAATTTTTATTAGATGCATGATAATACTTTAGTCCTATTTACACTTCTTTTGTTTAGCAATATATTACAAATTGCTTTGGATAAAATGTTTTATTACAAATACTAAAAGTAAAGGAAATTAACAAATAACATGATTACTTAATTGTTGTTGAAATATTTAATGTAGAAAAATGAGAGATGTTAAATTTAAGGATGAAGTGTCTGGGCTTGAAGTGTCATGCTCAGTAGTGTTTTTCAGGGGCTAAAATTGGAAATCGGACCTCATTCAAAATCATAAAAGCTCGCCGATGACTGGTTGTTTGTAAGATCACGAGAAGGTGTGAAGCTATCGTTGGTAGTCAGATCCTAATGCGTATATCCAGGTTGCTGTCAATGTTTTTCCTAATTCAAAATGACGTTCATATAAAAAAATATATGATGTACCGATAAACATCTTTTATTTTCAGAAACGTGTAATAACGATGAACTATTTCATTGTGACGTCACTAAGTGCATTCCAAAACGGTTACTTTGCAACAAATACATAGATTGCGAGGACGAAAGTGATGAAGCATTTTGTGCACTGCCGTCACTTCAATCGTGTTATGAATGGTGGCAAGCTGGCTTTAGAACATCTGGTATTTACACCATAGGTAATTATCATTTTGATAACTTGTTGTTGTTGTTTTAGGTTTATTTTAGCTCGGCGCCGGAAATTCCATATGTCCGAGATCTCAGCGTCCATGCCGGTCCACTCTAGTGTCTATCGGGAGTCTTTTTCATCCTTTCCTAATCTGTTTTAGTTCGAGGAGGAAGCAATACGGAAAGCATAAGTTCCGTGACGGTGCAAAAGCGGTGAACAGTAAACGGCTTTGTTAGCGCCCCCCTCCAGAGTTGCCGACCAGGTCAACCCAATCCCTTGGTGCTTAAGTGATTGATTGACTGCCGTGTGTTCTGTGACGTGCACGCCTCTGGAGGATTTGGAGAGTTGATAATTGTGGAAACTGTTTGTCTGTTTATATAATAAATGTCATTAAGAAGCTACACCTGTTTGTATTTTGCGTTCCGTTAGTGTTAAAATTCAGAAATAAATACTTTTCATATACTTTAAAACATACTGTTGACGAACCAAACAAATCAATTTGTGAGTGTCTAAAGGAAATTTTTTCTGCAAACAAAAGAAAATTCCAAATTAATCCATAAAGTTTGTTTTATCGGCATGTTGCCTTTTAAAATATTCCATCAAATGTTTATTCAAATTACATCTGATTAGACCAAACGCAATAAAAAGAATAGCATATTTGTTCCGTTACATTAAATGAAACAAAATTCCTTTTTTGAAGAACATTAAATTTAAGTAGGTAACATTATAGTATTTAATCATGTTAAATTGCATGTAAGCCTTCATTTAGGGAATTTTTAGGATTATTTGTCATCAAATAGACTGAAATAACACTGATATTTGCCTAATTTACTATCTTCGTCCTTTTTATGAGATTCAAATCAACATATTGTGTCCTCATTGGTTAGTCAAATGATGAATGCTTAAAATCAGCACAAGTTTCAAAATGTTTTGATTTTTGTTTTGCTGAAAAATGTTTGTGTCTCCAAGGTCAAGATGACTATTTCATTACAGTTATAACATTTGTACTCTTTATTTTATGCTTTTCGTGGATTATATTTACCGTGAAATTTATTTGTAATTTTCCCGGAAAATTTTAAAAAATTAATTTCACTTTTTTTTAAAGCGAAAACTTTTTTTAAAATTTTCCCCCTGTGGTACCCCAAATTTATTTTTATGCAATTTGAATATCAGGTGTTAAAAAAAAGGGAAGTGAAAAAAGATAAAAATAAATGTAAAAATATTAAAGGAGAAAAAATTTTTCTATTCTTCAATTCCAAACCAAAAATTTTGTTTTAAAATTTTTTTTTTCGTTTTTCGTTTAAAAAAATTCCCTTCCCTGCAAAAATGCTCTTTATGACTTTGGGCTATTAAAGTATCCTGAGAAAAATGCCCTATGCTTTTGAAAAAATTTAAAAGCTTGAAGCTATATGAAAATAATAAAAACCGCGTTCCTTTCAAACCTTAGCAAGTTCCGTTTTCATTTTTTCCAGCTCCCCTTTTGAATGTTTTTTCTTTAAAAAACTTTTTTTTGTCTGTTAAATCTCAATAAGTTTCTTTCTTTTAAAAAAGGGGTATACTAACAAAACCAATTTTATTTCTGTATTTCACAAATTTTTTTCCCCCCATGAAAAAACGACTTTTTAAAAATGGTTTCGCTACTTTTTCAAAACCAGGTCTAATATAAATTCGCAGTAAGTAACAGAAATATGGATGGATGGTTGGTTGGACTTTTTCTCCTACAAGAATTGTTTGTTTTTATTATTAAAACAAGCGATCATTCATATTTTTTAATAAGATGAATAAATATCACATTCATTTAACCTTCATTGGCGGACTTATTTTTCAGCTCAAGACTTCTTGTTTTTAATGAGAATTCCCTCTAAAATGGGGCTCTCAACGGGGGAAACAGATTTTTAATATCAACGTTTTAAAATTATGGAAATTTCGTTTTAACTTGTTTTAAAGCATAAAAATTAAAAAGAAAATTTGTCTGTTTGTTGTGTAAGATGTAATTTTTATTTCATCTCGTGAACTTTAAAAAACAGTATTCTCACTCGTGGCTACGCCACTCGTGAGAATACTGTTTTTAAAGCCCACTCGATGAAATAAAATTTCATCTTACACACAAACAAACAAATATCCTCTATATAATATCCTTATGAAAGATAAGGATGTAACAGTCTGCCGAGCGTCATAGAAAAAAAAATTCCAAATTGCCACATATTTTAAACGAAATATTTATATTTCTTTCAGGTTTAAAAAAAAAGTTTAATTACTGTAATAGTTGAACAAAAAAATATATTTTCGTTTTCGTTTTTATCAATTACCGAAAACGTTTGTATTATATTTTTTAAAGCCGCTATGGATGTTTTCTGTGACTTTGGCTCGTTTAAAGAAAATGGAACAGTTAAGACTATCTTTAAGAATAGAGATTTTTTCCCGGGAACAAACAGATACCATTTTGGAAATGAGCAGGCGCTATCTGACAACAGTATATTTCAATTGGATGACTACACAGTAACAAATATTGTAGATGGTGCATCCTGTGAGTTTAAGGTTCGTGAAATTTTACCAAAACTTCAATGATGTTTGTTGCCGCGTATATTTGTCGATAATCGTAAGTACATGGCCTTTTTCAAGTAACGCAACTAAAACGTTTCTAAATGATATTGGTAAAACCACTGAAAGAGTCTATCAATTATCAGTCTTAATATCATTAATGTTACATTTTGTATTTCATCAGTTAATTTTGAATGAGAATAATTGTGTAAATCAAGTTTTTACTTACCACCAGGATATATTTTGGACGCTTCCAGTTTTAATTCATATTAGACTCAATCCGGTGGTTTGTTCATATGATGATTAAACTCTTTACTCGTTCCAAATAGGTATCTGTAATGTTACATTTCAAGGGAAAAATTCCCAAATTAAATACGTTGACCCTTTTTTCTTAATGAGTAAATGCCCCGCGGGGTATGGGCCCTTAATAGTATATAAAGGGAAAGGTTTTGCAACGGGAAAGGGTTTAAACCATTGTACAATTAAAATTTGGTCATTTTGTTTTTGGGTACCACATTGCCCCCAGCGTTTGCCCGGTGTGATTTTCCCAAAAATAATATAAATTTCGACCCAAATTTCTTTTTTCAATTCTGTTTTTTCTCATTAATTCTTTTAACCGATTTCAGAAAAAAAAATTTTAAAAAAAATTGGGTTTTCAGTGTTTTTTAAACTTTTCCCAAAGCCCACAACACCCATACCTTACTCAAAAACTCTGCCTGCATTGAAAATTCCAAAAAATTTAAAACCAACTGTGTTGGATTTTTGTTCTGAAAACAAACCCATTTTTATTAAAAAAAAGCTCTGTTAAAATGTTTATAAAATATGGATGGTATGAAATAAAGATGTTCACAATACGGTTTCTGTTAACTGAAACACATCCTATGGAGCCTCGTTCAATACGGGTTTTATTCCCAGCTGTCGTACCTAAATAAAAAATTTAATTTACCCCGGCCCAAATAATTGTATGTTAACCTCAAAGCTATCCATCCATATATCCATCCACAAAGATGTCCGTCCGAAACTATTGCAGGCTCGGTTAAATTGAGCCTGTCCATGGACGGTATGTCAAGTGCAATCTATCGTCCACGCCCCCTCGCACCGGCTTAAGCAGATTTCAACATCTAAACAAGTTAGTTTGATCGGCAAGTACATCGTGTGAACAAACTGTTTCTTTACTAGTATTTTATGTTAGATATTATATTGTTATAATTTTTATTAATTTGATATATTGAAGGTTGAAGAAACGTGCAATCCTGGCTCATATCGGCAATATTACTTTTCAACTCGACATTTTAATCGTGATACCTTTAACTCCTGTTATTGTGATATGTCACAACTGTCTGCTTTTGGGGGAAAAACGTAAGTGTTTAAAAATAAAAAGTTAATGAAAATAACTTATCTACGGAAACGTAAAAGGGTCTCCATATACTGCGAACATGAAAAGTGTGCAATTCGACTGATTTTTATTTCGCTTTGATTAGATGTTTTACATACACAAATCAGCTTATCTTATTTACAAAGACCGGATCTTTTGTGAAATATTTTTGTCACTTTTCACAAAAAAGGTTTTTCTAAAGGATTCACAAAATGGAATAATTGTTTGACCTTTCTTGCCTATAAAAATCTTTGAGAAATTAAATAAATTTTTGATTTGTGTTTAAACTCTTAATCAGGACCGATTTGATCAGTCAACTTACACTTCATGATTGTACTTAAATGGAGGCATTTTAATGTTTCCGTACTTATTTAGGACTTATCTGTTTACAGTAATGATAAGATGTACAAACTCGCACAACAATCTCTAATACACGTAATCAAAATTTTTATTTTTCATATAAATACATATAAAACATAATAGCATGGACTTTCTACTAAACTTTTGATGTATTTCACACATTTACGGAAACGTGAAATGGTCATGATGTGTCAGTCGAATGATTTTAATTTGATGTGATTAAATTTTTAAACACAAATAAAATTATTTTATTCACAAAGATTGAAAATTTCGCCAAGACTTACCTCGAGATCCTTGAAGTATTTTTAGGCGAGAAGGTATCTTTTCGTATTTTTGAAAAAACAAAACTTTTTAACAAAATTTTGTTTGATAAAGTACTTCGAACATTTTATGAAAAGTGACGAAACTGACAAAAAAATAAAATGATCTAGTCTTTGTCAATAAAAAAGATTTATTAGTGTTTTAACATTTAATTTCATCAGTAAAATGCTATCGACTTAATACACATCATGATCGCACTAAATAGAGGGTCTATAATTTTTGTACTTCACATTTAATATATATATCTTCTATATTTCAGGTTCCAAAAATGCATCAATCCTTATACATCATTACAAACATATAAATCAGATGATATTCAATTCTACTTTGATAATAATTTTAACATTTATCAAGACTTTAATATCATTATCAATCTCTTACCATTGGTCTGTACAACAGGTAGGTTTAATACATTATAATAAAATTTGATTTGAATCCATCTCACCGAATAGGCATGCTATATTTTCCTTTCGATTTATGTAATTATTGTCATCACGATTTGATAAATTATTTTCACTTAAAATTCTGCTGTTCAAGTCTCTAAATGGTTTACTAGTTTCAATCTTTCATGTCAACTTATCGGCACTGGTCATTTAAGGGACGACTCTCGAATTATTTTAATCTTTCATTCTGTCAAGAAATAACAATATTCGACGCATAATTATTATAAAATTGATGGCACCTTCAATTGGTGGATGGCACTGGGTATTCACCCTTGATTGTTTCCGTATTTTTTCTGATCAGTCTGCTGCACATTTGTAGCCTCGACTATATGTAATAAGTAATAAAGTAACTCTTTTCATCTATGTGTTGGGAGTGGCCAATCATTGTGTTGGTCTTTCTTTAGTCAGCCTCTTTTAATCTGTTTGGATTAGTGTAAAATATACTGTTGTTTTTTATTCCAAGAAGAAATTTGCAATTAACAGTGTTTTATAGCTTTCATCAGAGATTTGTTGCATTTCAAATACCTAAGAATATCAGACTGTTAGCTTTATGATAGGGAAATCTTTGTGATTACTCTAAATTTATATATTAAAACCTTTACATGCAAGTGATTGTCTTGATTACAACCGATCTTCTTTTCTTTGCATTACAGTTTACAGACCTAGTGGGGATGATTTAGCATGCGAGGGAGATGTAAAATTGATAGACAGAAGACTTCGATGCATTTATGATTTGGATGCATACGGACATGTTCTTGGATGCAGCTCGCTAAGTCACCTCATAAACTGCAGTATGTATTTCAAATAATAAAGTTAATTTTAACCTCTTTTTCCTTTATTTCCCCCACTAATCTTATGTCCCAATCCTTTTTATTTCCGACTTCTTTTCTTTTTACATTTAATATGTACACGATTTCGAAACTTGTCTGTGAATTATAAATATATCCGTTATCTTCCCTCTTACTCGACTAAATAATCCAAACTATGTCTGGCTTAAGTAGTCAAAAAAAATAATGCATTCTTACAAATAAATATATTCTTTTATTTTATGCTTTTCAGTGGATTACTGATTTATCCGTGAAAATTATATTTGATAATTTCACAGTGAAAATGATCAAAATATAATTTCACACTTTTCAATGACGAAACTACTTTTTTAACATTTTCCCCATGTGGTACCTCAATTTTATTTTTGCTGACAATTCTGACAATGTCAGGCTGTTTAAAGAAAAAGCAAAGCTGAAATTGATAAATAACTTAAATGTCAAAAGTACTTAAAAGAAGAAAACTTACTTCTATTCATTCAAATTCCAATCACCAAATTTAGTCCCTAAATTTTTTTGTTTCATTTTTACAGTCTGAAAATACATTCCTTCCACATGCAAAACTGCTCTTGATGACATTTGGGCATATTAAAGTATCCTACGAGCAATAACTGCCGCATGCTTCATGAAAAATTGAAAAGCAATGACAGCCATCAGCTCGAAGAATAATTAAAAAAAAAACAGCGTCCCTGAGTCAGCTTCCAAGTTTTCCATTTTCCTAGCTGCTTTTTTGAATGTTTTCATATCTGTCAACACTTATTTTTTGTCTGTTACAATCCTCAAATATGCTTTCTTTCTTTTAAAAAGGTGTATGACTAGCAAATCCAAATGATATCCCTCTGAATCAAACACAATTATTTTCCTCCCGTAAAATACACAATTTTAAAAAATGGCTGCCGTCTACATTTAACAAAGCCAGGTCTAATATAAATTCGCAGTAAGTGACAGAAATATGGATTGATGGTTGGACTTTTTCTCCTACAAGAATTGTTTGTTTTTATTATTAAAACAAGGGATCATTCATATTTTTATAATAAAATGAATAATATCGCCGTCATTTAACGTTGATTGTCGGACTTATTTTTCATCTCAAGACTTCTTGTTTTTAATAAGAAATTCCAACTAAATGGGGCTCTCAATGTGGAAAACAGATTTTAATATTAACGTTTATATTGTGGAAATTTCGTTTTACCTTGTTTTTAAGCATAAAATAAAAGAAAATGTGTTTGTTTGTTGTGTAAGATGTAATTTTATTTCATCTCGTGAACTTTGAAAACAGTATTCTCACTCGTTGCTACGCCACTCGTGAGAATACTGTTTTTAAAGCTCACTCGATGAAATGAAATTTCATCTTACACACAAACGAACAAATATCCTCTATATATTTCATATCTAACCATTCTGTGAACGTTTTTAATTATTTAGATTTTGTTGAAAAGCGATGTGAATTTAACTTTATTATATACGCCCCTACACAACATTGAGAATGCAACTTTGCACATCCAGCTGATCCTAATGGCAGATCAATTATTTTGAAATTTGACAAGACAAAGTTTTTGAAAACTAAACAAATACTTTTGGAAACGAAGACCTGCATCAGGTTGGTTTAGTTATTGTCAGATGAGTCAGTTATATGTCATGACAACACGTCATCGCACAATGCGTCTATATTGAAACACTATCTTAAGGAGAAAAAGTAGTTGAGCTCTCCCAACCTCCATATTCACCTGACCTTACCTCTTTTAACTTTCTTTGTTTCGGAAGCTATAGCAATAGTTTCCAAATCGAAACATTGTTTAGCTCAAACATCTCGATTCTGCAATATTCCATTGTCTTCTTTAATCTATTAATTCCTTAAAAGACTGAAACGTTGTGTATCTGTAGAAGAAGGATAATTTTAGGGAATAAATAATAAAAAACAGTAAACATATGAAAAGTCATATTTGTACACGCTTAAATGCAGTCATATTTGAACACTTCTCGTGTTTTCCAATGGGCAGAGTGGTTAATATTGAAGTAATAATTAATGTAATGTAAAATGTTGTATACCTGTTGATAAATTTGGAATTTTATGACAGGTTCATATGGCTGTCCTGACAAATTCGTCAAATGCCCGGGTAGTTACTGTATTCCATCAAGATTGATCTGTGATGGCGAGCTACATTGTCCTGGAGGAGAGGATGAAAGCGATTGTGGTAAAGATAAGATGTACTTCGGTCCATGATTGTTTAAATGAAATTGCCATATAAACATGAAATGGTTTGCATTTTCATGCCTGACTGTTACTTTATGAGTATAATCATTACATTCTACAATAATTGTATAAATTTTATTATAACTTATCTTATTGACGACCGGGTTTCAACAATATGTTTTATCTGTGTCATTATCTTTTTGTTCATTTTTGTGTATATTATTTACCTACTATGTTATCATTGTCTTCTTTTTCGTTTGAAAGATAAAGAAATATAAATTATTTATATGAAACCCGAAGAACATGTAGTTAAAGTCAGTAGTGCGGTGATAGGTAAAACCTGTTTATGTCAGTAACGTCTCCGACACAAAGACCAATATCTCAACAATGTTCATCATTTCAATAACTTTGTTCAGTAGGGTATGCTACATTAGTCTAGTACACTATTTTAACACTGTTACCATGAAAAGTATTTTTATATTTGTGACAGGTTGCAGAGTCGACAGCATGAAGTTATAATTCTCGTAGATTATAACTTTATTTCTTCTGCGGACTTGTCTATTGATGACTTTGCATCACAGTTTAGTAGCAAAAACAACATCGTTCGAATATTGAGCTACGAAACAGATGAACCACTGCAATATTACGGTTTAGGACTAACTAGACTTAACATTATTGACAAGGTTTTAGAACGAAACACTTTTGAAGATAGAAGGAAAAGTTGTATTTATAAGGTTCTAGCCAGAAACTTTTTATACCAAATCAAATTTTCAGATATGTCAGAAAAATCTGTAATATTTCTTATGACTGATCCTTCCGCAGCTATAGTTGCAGACCAGATATTTAAAAGCACACAACACGCTTTTGAAAAAGGTTTAAAATTGTTCCGAGTCCTTGAAAAGCCTGATGTCAAACTTCCCGCCATGCACAAATATTCACACGTGACTGACGTCTATATACCACGATGGAAGACACTTGCCGATATTGGAGCAGATTATTTTCCAGAAATATGTGGAGGTTGGTTGACTTGTATCAAATATACAAGCTTACATCTGTCTTTTGAACGAGAAATACAAGTGCATTATTAGTTTGTTCTCATGTAGCCTGTAAGGAAGGTTTAAAGTTATTATCAGGACAACGATAGTGAATCTCCAGTAAGAAGTTCTAGATGAAGTGATATGATTTATTTCTTGCACAATGAAATTCATTACTTATTTTTGTTTCTTTTGCTGTAGTGATAAATTATGTGGCATTGAAAAAGAAATATAATTTTATCTGTTTTAACCTCGCTAACATTTTGTAGCATAAATTACAAACTAAATTGATATTTTAGTTCAAGTCAAAATGGATTCATTTCGGAAAATAAGTAAACAGATAAAAACAGGAAAATGGTTACAGATAATAAACATTTTCATGGTTTATAAATTTCACATTTCAGCTCCAACCAAAGTATTATGCCAGGGTGGATACAGATGTGCATCAAGCAAAATATGTTTATCTTTAGATAAATTGTGTGATGGAACCAAACATTGTATCCATGGCGACGACGAACGCCTTTGTGACTTCCAATGTCCTTATAACTGTAGCTGCATTGGTTATTCTGTACAGTGCCAAGATAAAGGGCTTAAAATGAATAACATCATTGAATTACCACAACAGGTCCGGCTTTTGGACTTAAGTTTTAATGCCGCTTTAAAGTCAATTCTACAAGCATCTTACTTAGATTTAAAAACGTTAGCGAGACTAAATGTTTCTCATTGTGGAATTGAAGAAATTATTCACCAGGCATTCTTGAGAATAAAAAATATTAAAGTTTTAGATCTCAGATCAAATGAAATTCGAAAGATTAGCTCCGGAACTTTTTCAGAGTTGCGTTTGAATCATATCTACCTGTCTGGAAATAGCTTTATTGTTATCGAGGACTACGCATTTAACGACATGTCTGTCAATGTCATTGACTTTGAAACAAGCAGTGTGACAGAGTTTAGTCAAAATATCTTCACTGGATTGAGGGACTTGAAAGTACTAAGGACTCCTGCATTTAAGTTCTGTTGCATCCGTCCGAATTACGTTCCTGAAAATGATTGTTACCCGTACAAAGATGCATTTTCGTCTTGCGAAGATTTAATGCGACTATCTATTTTGCAGACAATGCTTTGGCTGGTTGGATTATCGGCCTTCTTTGGGAACATTCTCTCGCTAGTTTATAGGTTGAAATATGACAGAAGCAGATTAAAGTTGGGATTTGGTATTTTCGTCACCAACTTGGCTGTTGCAGACTTTTTAATGGGCATTTATCTCATAATTGTAGCTGCAGCTGACGCTGTTTTTAGAAAGAGGTAAAACTATACCATTCAATAAACTGACAAGTAATATATAAAAGTACATCAATGAACCTCTTATCAATGGTAATTTTCAAAAGTCAATTTTGAAATCAATTTAAATTTGATAAAGAGTAAAATGAAATTAATACTGAAAGAGTACAATGAAATTGATACTCAAAATGTTAAATTATCTGTAGTTGAACAAAAACATTACGTTTCTTTTTTCTGAGAAACACATACACTGTACTTTGAATTTTTACGCAGATTTTTACATTCATTTGGTATTTTTATACGCAGGTATATATTCAATGACGATAACTGGAGAAACAGTGTGTGGTGTAACCTAGCAGGAGTTTTGGCTGCGTGCTCATCGGAAGCAAGCGTATTGTTCTTATGCCTGATAACTGTGGATCGACTTTTGGTTATCAAGTTTCCGTTTGGGCAATTTCGATTTGACGCAAAAAAGGCGAACATATGTTCATTTACAGTATGGTTGATATCTTTAACAATTGCCTTGGTACCCATAATATTTGAAAGCTACTTCCAAAATAGATTCTACAATAGGTCCGGAGTTTGCATTGCCTTGCCGTTTACTCGTGATAGACCCCCTGGATGGCTCTACTCTGTAACATTATTTATTGGATTCAACTTTGCTACATTTTTGTTGATTGCATTTGGACAATGGTCAATATTTATGGAAGTAAGGAAATCTAGTGTAAGGATGAATAAGATCAAATCTGCAAGAAAAAAGGACTTGGTGGTTGCAAGAAATCTACTTCTAGTCGTTACAACCGACTTCCTTTGTTGGTTTCCGATAGGAGTGATGGGTATATTTTTTTAAATAATATTGAGAGAAAAGAAAACAACAAAAATGCATTGTCATTTATGAACAGAAATAAGTTTGTTAAAAATACTTGTAGCATACATTTAAATGTTACACTCGGTATGACTAGTAGAAATTTAAAATTATACCTGGTGCAAGATAGTTTTATACATGACAAACGCATCATATATTTTCTATCCTTGAGAAACGCTGTTTTATTTATTTCACCGTTTATATCTTTTTTGAAGGTATAATGGCATTGAATGGCCACGTGATATCTGGAGACATCTATGCTTGGACAGCAGTATTTATATTGCCCATAAATTCTGCTTTGAATCCGGTATTGTATACACTGACAGCTATACTTAGAAACACGGTTTGTTTGAAATGCGTCTATTTTAGCTTTAATTTTAGTTTTAATAGCTTTTGTAATTCTAAATATTTCATCATTATAAATATATGAAACTTTAATTTATTCGTAGTTAAATATTCTCCGATATGAATATTTGATTATGATATATCAAAATGGCGATAGTATGCAAATAAAAGTACGAAAATTTCCAATGTGGACAACTTTTGAAACATTTGTATTTTTTTTATATAAGTATCGATTGTCATTTATTTCCTAGAAATTTAATCCGGACACAGAAGAACAGAATAGAACCGAGATGACAGAAGGTAAGACCGTTCATAAAAAGTTTAGAAGAACGAATTAGATTACTATACATTCAAACATTCAAAAGCAAACAAGGTATCACAAATACACTTTTCATTTCTTATTGCGGTTTTCGTTTTCCAACTGGACTGCTGGAAAAATATTTCGGATTCATCTCTGTGTTTTTGTCAGGCACTCCGTAAAGTAGCTAGATAGCATTTTCATATTTTTCACCTGATATAATCCAAAGTCCATGCCGGGATTCAAACCAACAGTGGTGAGTGTCAAGTAAATGAATGTCAGCGAAAATAACAGTTCGGCCATGGAGACCATATAACTGTTAAAGACAAATAATCCAATTCCACTTGGCCCATTGAGTTAAAAAAAGCCATCATAAAAGCCATCATAAAAAGCAAATTAGTTAATAAAGTAAGCAAATCGCTACTTCGACAGAGTTTACATTCGTTTTTATTTTGATCACAAAAAATTCTTTTATGTAAGTCTTTTGCAAGATTATTCCATATAAAATACTAATTCACTATAATTATAGCAATTACCAGCAAAGCATAAAAAGGAAATATTGTAAATTTATATGGCAAATGAGTAAATTTTAGAAATTGTTATATGGTGCCACAAATACAAAGTCTTTGAATAGTAAAAATGATAACATTTCTGAAGCATATTGTGCCCATAATTTAAAGCAAAAGCACGACCGATACTTTTCATAATGTTTGTGTATGTTTTAGACAGTCATTCAGTTTACGTGTATTATAAATCTATAAACATGATATCTTACAGAGCTCGGTAATTATTTCAAAGATTGCCGTCTTGTTAACAAGATGATATCTGTTCGAAGGATTCAGAAATCTAGTTTTAAAAGTGTTACATCTGTTTTGGAGCAAGACTATAGCGTATCCACCTATGACCTTGTAAGGCTGACTATGACCCTGTTTAAACTACTTGACGTTATCCACAAAGGATCGTTGGTATTCGAGAATCTGAATAAAGATTTAGTCTATATAAAGGTGAAAGGGGAAAAGGTATGATATTAAATTTTTCAAAATTAGTTAAGACAAATTTCAAAATGTTTTAATGTGGTAAATCGACATTGTTTGATATGTTTTGGAGGAAAATCGCTTATTGATTTAGTATCTGTGATATGTTAAGCATAGAATGAATCAAACATTCCAAATAAAAGATATATACGTTTTACAAATGATTTTATTTTAGGTAGAACAAACAAAATCGAAACTGAGTTAAAAACATATATTTCACTTTTTATCAACAGTATCTGTTTTTATAAATTAGCTTTATGCATATAGGAAAGGCTAATTATTTTCAATTACAATATCGTTAACTAAATTTGAATAAAAACGGATTCATAAGTATAAGCTATTAAGCATATTTTACATAAAGATTTGTTTAATCTTAACAGATAACTGGGGACATTAAAGTGTTAGGAGAACCTCGAGAATCAAGAAAAAGTGAAGATATCCCTAACGACACGTTACAAGCTGCGGTTATCATACATTCATTAATGAGCCAATTAAATGTCTCAAAATAATGATGTGTTACTAACTTATTTAAGTTTGTTATTGTAAACTTTTATATGTTGTTTTTGTTGTATATATTTTATGGTTATGTTTGCACTATTCCTTGGATTACATTCGTATTTTCTTGATTAATCAACGCTTATGTGAAGCAAATATTTGCAATTTCTTATGGTAATGGGTAGACAGAGAGACTCAACTGAACTAAAATTATGTTTAATGACGTTTTTATCTAGAATGGTTCTTTTGTTAAGGAATGAAATATCTCGATCTTCTTAGTAAATAAATATATTGTCGTGTGTAAAGTAGTTTGTTTTTGATTGGATTTCGAGGTCAATATTGTATCTAAAGCATTATCTTCTATATCTCCTTAAGTGTACTTCACAAATATTCTATTCTAGAAGATAACGAATGATTATGCTAATTCAGCAAATTTATAACGTTAATTACCAAAGTGAATGTTTAATCAGTATACTTAATTTCTCATGGCAAATGAAACTTTAGAATACAGCAATAAAACCATCATTATGTATATATAGAGGATATTCAAGGTTTTTCTCCAAATACAGGATTTATATTCATCAAATGGAGTGAAAATAGATATTTCAAGAGCTAAGGTAGCCTCGAAAGAAATATGATAAATTTCATACCACAAGATGAAATTATATCCTATATGTATAGAAAAAAACTTGAATTTCCTATTTATCATACATTTATACATTTATTTTTATTTTGACATTACAATTTGAAAGAATTTCCGTTAAATTTTGTGTACTGGCAGAATTTAGAAGTAGTCTGGCAAGACACCAGAAAAACTACGGAAAACATGTTTCACTGCATTTAGAAATAATTTTTTTACAGTGAAAATACAGAAAATGAAAATAGGCATTTTATTTCATCAATATTTCTCAATATTTCATTTATAAGTACGTATAAATAATTTTTTTATCTTCTTAAATAATTCCTATTTATCAAAGTACAAATGATTTGCATATTTTAACTCTAACACACTTCACACTATTCCCCTATTAAACAGAGCGGTCATTCAAGTGCCTTATTGCACGATATATGCACAGCATAACAAAGCAATGTTTACACGTCATCGGACGTCAGATATGACGTAAATAAAACAAATTACGTACAAAAAAAATACTTCTACGCTCAGTTTACTTCAACATATGTTATTAATTATTTTTTATTAGCATGTTATAATGGAAATAGATATTATTTTTTCGTGCATTTTAATATATTTATGCAGCGTTTATCGTACAAATGCTTTGTAATTAATCACTGAGGCCTATAAGTCTTCGTGATTATATTTTTACGCATTATTTAACTCGAACCGTGCATTATTCTTAAAACAATGCACTCAAATTTGATATCTGTTTCCTGACAAATTACAAGTTAAGCTAATTTCAAAGCCAACACTAAACTCTGGCAGCTTTTTCTAATGATTAAGAGTTGAAAAAAAATATTGAAAAAAAAAATTCACAACTCTATCACATAGTTCTTTAGTAGTCCTTAATTTTCCGCATTTTTGTTTGTTTGTTTTATTTTACGCCTTTTCCCAACAGTATTTCAGTCATATAGGCGGGTAGTTTCCTAACCATCGTTCCTGGAGAGTTTATTTTCCGTATACTACAGCATGAACATTCTTTCAAATCTCATGATATTATATATATAGACATACACACCAATAAATATATATGGTCTTGTCCTTAAGAATGTTCTGTTATAATATGAAGTCAATCCATTCAAAAATAGCAAAGGTACAGCCAGTAAGCCAAAAAATGAAAATTTCAATAATTTGACCTTCAGTCAAGGTTATTTATATGAGTGAAGGTCAAGGTCTGTCTGGTTATTTTAAAGCGCTATCCTTTAAGATAATTATGTTCAAGTTTGAAGACAATCCATTAAAAAATAACAAAGTTACAGACAATAATAGCAAGACAAAGCAAAATTTGGACATTTGACCTTTTAGGTCAAGGTCATTTATGGATGAAGGTCAAGGTTAGTGTGGTCTACTGAAAGGTCTTGTTCAAAGGGTTGTTGTGGCCAAGTATTAAGACAATCAATCCACCAAGAACTAAAAAAATTATTATGATCCAGGTACAAGTTTGCGGACGGCAACGGCAATGCCGCAAGGACTATAACAATACCTCTACTTTTTTTTCAAAAAAAACAAACAAACAAAAATCAGTCAAGTTAAAATCATACATATCAAGCCAATGAAGTTTTTCCTAAGTTCTTGTGCATAAAACAATATCTATTTCACACAGATTGGCAGATGTGCCACCTTTAACAGATTTAGAACCAATTTTGCGGTAAGAAAAATAATGAAAACAGATAATTTCATTTTCTTTTATTGTCGAGCTGTGTATTTCAAAGTTTTTTCATCATCAAAATATATCAAAAATAATGTTTTTATAATTACAAGAAAAAAAACTTATCACATTATTGACCAAGAACATCACAGAGGAACTGCAAAGATATATACAAATATATTTAACCAATCATAATCTAGACTTAAATTACATAAGGTAACCTTCAATAATTGTTTTCAAAGCCTTCGTACAAGGAAATACAATATAATTACAAATTATGACAGAACGACATCTATTTAAAGAAGAACTAAAGTAAAATTGATCAGACCCTAATTTACATTTTAGTTGATTAGTCAAATAAAATAATATGTTTTAGACACTTATAAAATAACTTCATAAAAAAGAGGCATAAGAGTTGCATATGGGTATTTTATCGCTCACCTGCTTGAAGTTTGTTTTCTGTGCTAAATAGAGTGCAAGTGTAAATCTTGTCGTAAAATATTGAACTATGACCTATGTACCTGAATGGAGTTTTAACATGACCTAGATTATGATCAGAAACAAAGCATTCTGAGGCCAAGTTTCTGCCTGGACTTGGCCAAAATCAAGGTCTCTAAGGGTGTTAATACATGTCCATTGACATCTGAACAAGTGAACTGGATTTTGGCCATAGATGACAAGTGTATTGTAGATTTTCAGACACTTAAAGATTTATCTGTGGGTGTTAACACGATTTTCTATTGTTTTGACCACGGATGAACTACTTTTTTCCCATTTCCAATCCTATCTTAAACATGATTCAGAAAAACATTTTAGACAAAAATTGATGAACATCCAGTAAAACCACCTTTGACCTTTAAAATGTTAACCACCAGGTTTTAGTGTGATTTAGTTTGGTGGTCCCTAGACCACCTTTATTTCAAACATCAGAACACTGACTTTCTAAGCAAGTTTCATTGAAACTTGAACATAAAATGTGGTACATTGTATGTAACATGTAAAAAAACGTTTTCCTTTGATTTGACCAAGTAACTCAGATGCCAACAGTTCTAGCTTGTCAAACATTTAACTGAGGCTAAAAACAAAGCCTTTGTCTCTGAATAAGACATTATTGTCACTAAAATCCTTCATTTTAGCAATGTTGGATACATGTTCAAGGTCAAATAAGGTAAAATCATATTTTTTTTATCTGTTTTACTTAACATATATAAACAAGTGGCTTTACATGACCAATGAACAAAAATTTCTAAGTTAAAAAATGGCATTCCCATATCTGTGAATTCTTCATCTCAGAAGAGGAATTTATGAGAAAATTTCAATGTCAAACTTATTCTTTTAAATGAAAAGTTGGTTCATGTTCAAGATTCATAAATAAAATTTAAACATGTTCATGTTCAAGATTCAAAAATAAAATTTAAACCTTTCTTGATTTGTTTGTTTATGAAAGGAAGATTGTTTTCCTATTTTAACAATGTAAAACTAAGAGAAAAATGTATTCAAAAATTATTCAAGCTTCTTCACATGTATGAACTTTGATTTTTTACTTTATTGATATTTTTAATAAATGTAGAAGCATTATTTTTCACTCGCATTTCACATTTTATTAATTCATTTAATGAGTTAAAAATATTCAATGCTTTCTCATTTTTTTTATGTTGTCATGAAGCTGTAAATGTGCCATTTAAATCCATGATTAGCAGCAACACAATAGCCATTTTAAGTTACAATTTCAGACATTTAAATGTTCATGAAATCATGATCTAGAACAAGGTATGCAGTAAAAAGTAAAAGATAGGAAGCAATATTTCTGATGACAAAACTAGAACAGAACACAGCATAAACAGTCTGTTCAAATTATAAATGAACAGTCAATTTATCAATATATGAACAGTCAATTTATCAATATATGAACAGTCAATTTTATCAAAACATGAACAGTCAATTTTATCAAAACATGAACAATTAATTTTATTGATTCTGAACAGTTAATTAAGGTATGACCCCCTGACAAATTGACAACATAGGTCAATTATACAGCTTTAAAGGACACATGTATACAAAATTTAAATTAACTTTACCATACAGTTTTCGAGTTTTGGACACTTTTTCTGAGCTGAGGTTTCAGTTTCACTACTTGTAATAGGGTTTGTAAGAGAACAGCATGGATCCTGATCAGACTGCGCGGATGCGCAGGCTGGTCTGGATCCATGCTGGTCGCAAACCTGTTATGTTGGTTTTGTCATGATGCGGCTCATTTAAAGAAATGAGGGAACTCTAAATAACCTTTAATATCATCATTATGAAAAATGTTTTCCTATTGACCATTGTTTAAAAAACAAAAAGTAGCATTCGGCAAACAAATCACACAAGCAAAATGATTTTTTTTAATTTGTATAAAAATGTTACCCTACCCAAACCATTTAAACACTTATTTGACCTTTTTTTTACTTAGAGAGCCTAATATTCAAAATATCCCTAAAATTTACTAAAATTATGGGCTGTTTTCAAAGTTTCCTTAATCTTCTCAAAAGTATTATCGGTAAATCTTGCCAAATATTAAATACTTTTATCAAGTACTATTGATTCTATTAGATTTGAAAATATCAGGTACCATATTTGTTATTATATTCAATATCATTTACCCAATAAATACTTATAATAATTATGTAATTAAAATTGAACACTTTTTTCTCTCCAAGAGGGATCTGAGATATATGAATTATGTTAAAAAAAAATACAGAAGAAAAAAAAGTTGACCCTTCTGGGGTTTGAACGCATGACCTTCAGTTTCAATTCAGTTCACAGTAATTCTTTCCTATCTAAATACTCTCATGCATAAGGGGGTTATACCTTAATTCCTGAATTGTAAATTTATCAATTCATATACATGAACAATCTATTTATGAATTCATGAACATTTAATTCATGACTATATGTAGGGTTAACATTGACTGAATCCACACATTATCTTATAAACAGTCAATTGATCAACCAAAATTTACTTTTGCAAATATCATGAATAGATACACCAACATTATTCTATTTTATGAAAGACTCTCGGTATCTCTGCAGTACACGACTCACAGTAACTCTGCAGTACACGACTCACAGTAACTCTGCAGTACACGACTCACAGTAACTCTTCTGTACATGACTCACAGTATCTCTGCAGTACATAACTTATGGTATCTCTGCAGTACATGACCTATGGTAACTCTGCAGTAC